CCAAGTAAATTGTTGTTTCATCGGAGACGCTAAAAGTTAACTCTTTAAGTCAAGTACAAAAGGCAAGCTTTATAAAAATGTGACGACGCGATTAACGGTCAAAATTAATAATCGATTTATCCACTCACTTTGCGTGTACGAAAGTAAAATATGATATCTCTAGCCGTCACTAGCGATTCCGTTGGAGCGGAATAAAAAAAACATAATTAGTAGCCTATATGTTCTTTCCGACTATTTTCTATATGTATGCCTTTCATTGAGATCCGTTCAGCCGTTCTAGATATATCTTCAAACAAACTATCCATCTAAATTTTCGCATTTTTAATATTAGTAAGATTTGTGCGACAGATTTTGTAGTTGCTGAAGTCTACCATTGTTGAATATGAAATGTAAAATTGTGGATTACAATTATTTAAGAAGGAGCCATCAATTTGTGTCTTAGAATAAAAATGTATCTTTTGATGAATCTTTAAGTGGCAATTTCTAAGAACAATGACAACAGCATTAAGTCAATTTTAGGATCATGCTTTATATGGCATTCCATATTAAATATGTACGCATAATGTCAGTTTATTCACATGTTCAAATGTCTTGTTTAGTTACATGTCCGTTTTTAGAATTATGACTCAAAAGTTCTCAGGTATATTATGTTTATGTTTCTAGATGTCACCCGCGACTCCATCTACGAGGCAATATATTAAAAAACTTAGTAGCCTATGTGTTTCAGACTATGTTCTATAAGTATGCCAAATTTCAGCGAGATACATTCAGCAATTTTGGAGATACCTTCAAACAAACATTCATCCAGCCATCTAAACATTCGCATTAATAATATTAGTAAAAAGTAAGATGTATTTTACGATATTAAAATTGTATTAAATTATTGAAATGGTAAAATATCAAAGTTGTTTATTTAATTACTCAATTTATTACTAAGTAATACATATTTTATTTTCAAAATTAATAGGAGTAATTCGTAGAACGCGTTACATAAAATACACGGCCTTAACCGGACGATATGTGTTTAAAATATACAACTAAGCGAAAGGTCAATCGACGGCAATATTCAGGCAGGGTGAACAAGAATTTCACAAATCAAGAACACAAATTACACGAGATCACCCAAAACTTAAAAGCAAATACGATTGCAGAGATAAATATCTTGTAATAAATTGCGATTGCGGCTTTACTTCCCTAAAAATTTGCAATTTATATAGCCTGTAATATTAGCATAGCGCGGTATTTTCGAGCACACATATATTTTTTTTATCCTATAAGTACTTAAGCACATTTGCTAAAATTTTATTCAATGTTTTAGAACTAACACTGGTAATTAATTCATGAAGGTGACTACCCGCGATACGAAGGACGTTTTGCGCGTAGTTACAAGGCGTCCGGTGCTCCGCTGTGATCCGGCATGCGCTGGTTTAAACCGGAACAGCGCGGTTGGCGCGGTTCCGAAAGCCTCCCGTGCTAACGCATTCCGAGCTTTGCCGCCATTTTCTCTGTCATTTGACGCGCTTGAACTTTCATAAAGTACAGCTGCGTTTTATGTTGCGCAATATGAAGTCGAGATTTAAAATAATATAACCTCTGTATTAAAAAAAAGTAAATTAAATTACATAAGATTATGTAGTACTAAATATAAGATTTGGTATTTACTACCTTTTGGTGATTATAGTTCTAGTCTGTGGTTAGTTCGAAAGTCTGACTTTTATAACAAAATAAGAAAATTCGTTTGTATGTTGACAAAAACAAAAAATAAACTGTTTACTTTTATGATCTACCTGACTGAAGAACTCAGCTTGAACCGAAAATGACAGCAAATGTAACATAACAATAAATATTTTATTTCATAATTATTAAAACCATTAGTTATTAAAATAAAAAAAATTACAACAAATAATTTAATCGTGACAAAATCTAACATTAATATGAACATAAGAAAATGTACTTATATTTATAATCCATGTTCATTTGATATGTGTCATAATTACAAAATGCAGTCCGGTTTTTCCAAATACACGTGTTTAGCCGCGACTGCGGTTCGTTAGTAATCGCTAAAACAGGTTTTTTTATAAATAAATTGTACAATAGAACGCATAACTTCAAACTATCAGATTGTGTACATTAATTTTGTCCAGAAATTGTTTTAATTATTTTGCTTATGTCAAGTCTATTTATTATTAATGGAAATATATTTAAATTAAATAAAAGATAGTCTTAAATCTATGATATTAGATAAAATATTAAAAACGAATAATTAACTAAACTATATTGTTAAAAGGAGTCCCTTTAGGCAAGGTTCCGAAGATATCGATAAACTTTTTCATATTTCCTTAAAAACCACTAAAGCGCCAGGACCCCACGGAGCAAGGGTCTCGACACCGAATGCGGAAAAATCATTTTCTGAGCCAAGACCTCTGTATTTGCTTGCTTTAGCACATTTAAATTAATTCAATTATTGCAGTTATTTATTTTATAATTAGGTTTTTTAATCCCGCGTAGACGTAATCACGGGCGACAGTATTGTCCAAAAGTATAATTTAAAATGACAGAAATAATAACTCCATAAAATAAAACATTTTTAGGAAAGAATACTTTTGAAGTTATTTTGTTACATGTAAAACATATAAGTATGCATATTAACATAAAATTACTATGTTGTTTTGTATTGTACTTGATATTTTTATGTTTAAGTAGACCTAGACATAAATAACAATGTAAATAGTAATGTAACAGGAAAAAACAAACTATGTACGAGATCACTGAATCAGATATTAAAAATTTAAATGACAAAAACAAAAGAATTCTGAATAAAAAATGATTTTAAGTATACTAATATCTCACTTCTTACTATCTTACCCATTACTTTTTAGGGTTCCGTACCTCATAGGAAAACAATAGAACCCTTAGTAGTGGCTCCCTAACTTTTTTTGTCTACTTCCCACTTTGAGAATAAACATTTTTAGCGCTTCCATATTTTCACATATTTAAAAACCACTATAATTTCAAATTAAATTAATTAATTATTGTGACCTATATATGTATATTAACGGAGAATTCTAAACGAAACTTTTACTATAAACCGCAACTTGAAACCTGCAGCGCCCAAGGGGGCGTTATCGCCCACTTTGAGAAAGACTGCCTTATAGGATCACTTTGCTGTTCGTCCGTCTGTCAAGACCCTTTTTCTCAAAAACGCGTGAAGGTATCAAGCTGGAATTTATTTTAACTTATAAGTGCGAATATTTACATGGATGGCTGGATGGATGGATGTTTGTTTGATAGTATCTACAAAACGGTTGCATGGATCTCGCTGAAATCTGGCATAGATGTAGAACATAGCCTGGAAGAACACACAAGTCAATTCAGTTTTTTTTAAATCCTATGGACGGGGTCGCGGGCGACAGCTAGTGAGTCTAAAACCTTTTAAATAATGTAGTAGTAAGAATGGCGCGTGACTACGATCCCACTTGAGTAAATGAGAATATGGCAGAAATTTTTTTACGAGTATCGTATTGTTATTTCAGCAGTGTAAACCCACCTTAAACATTACGTTACAGACGCCCTTAACTGCGACAAATTGAACACGTGTAATGAGTAATTGTTAAACAAGCATTGATACAACTAAACTAATATTTGGTTCAACGATGATGGTATTGAAAAAAAAACAAGCGAAAAAAATATAATTTATTTTTAATTTTTTTATTAGAAGACAAGTAATGCAAGTAAACAGTGGAGCCCAAACAATATTTTTTTACACAAATGGGCTGACTTGACCGGTGAAATACCACAATTACGCAGAAGACAAAAGTCAAGTGAAAGTTATTCCGCGTTTCACGAGCCCTCGTTTGAAAATCCTGTTTTAGTCCTATTTTCTTCCACCTCATTCTTATAAGGAAAGGATGGGAAGGGGAATTGTATTAGGCGGAAGATGGGACCGATAAAAAGGGGAAATATCCTGTTCCACTGCGTCCCTTCCTCCAGTCTATGTGCAGAAGTCGCCTGGATATTTCGACGAATTCATTTGGCTGCTTGCTCGTTTACTACCTTAATAGGTACGTAGTGTCAGGAAGAAAATCCGACACTGTGTCGGTGTACCGGCGTAACACTAGCCTTATTAAAATGTCAAAGTTTACGTCTCCTCACTATTCATTCTGACATTTGACTTTTGTAACGAAAGCGCGCCATTCGCGCCAAATGATTATAACTATGTCTAAAAGTAGGTATATGTTTATACATCTTCCTAATAATATTAGCACTGGACCTTATCTCTGGTATCTCTTTAAAAACTTACGATAATGAATAGAGCGATTTCTCAATTACTTTACTGCTACCCACTTTAGATATAAATTTATTGAAATTTCAGTTAACAAGTTTACAACTTCTACATTACCGTATTTACGAATTACGATTATTTATAAAATAAGCTGTCGCTCGCGACTCTGTCCGCGTGGATTATAAAAAAACTTAATTAGTAGCCTATGTGTTCTTCCAGGCTATATTCTACAACTATGCCAAATTTCAGCGAGATACCTTCAAACAGCCATCCATCCATCCAAACTGATATATAAACACGGTTAAACACTCACGTATATTCGTTCGGTGGCGGCACCGACTAGTTTCGTGCCCATCGGGGGCCCTTCATCAGGATGAGTGGTACTGGTATTATTTCGCGGACGCGGCCCTCAGCTCACCGACCAAACATTCCAAACATTCGCATTTATAATATTAGTAACAATTAAGATATACATATTTGGACTTTATAGGTGTTGATAGTAGTAAAGAAAATTCTTTATTGTTTTGTTTTTTTTTATTGGAAAGTTTACTTTTGGATATATTTTGAAACAAAACAAACGAGAAAAGAAAGATGTAAAATTATATTTAGTTGCTGCTTTCAATACAGTCTTTTCCGTAACAATACTTCGACAAACCAACTGATTGCGACAATTATCTAGAGATTACTTAATAAAACAATCATTTGTCTTTTGTTTCAGATATTATACCCGAGAATTATGTGGCTGAGCCAAAATACGATTGGGTATATTATGATAAGAGAGCTAAGGCAATTATATCACAAGACAAGTTTCCGGTAGTCAACAGTCAGCCTGCGGAACAATGGAGGACAGCAGGTGAGCTGACATCCGTCACATTTATCAAGATAACCAATCAACACTGACTCATATATGTACTATGTGATAGACTATGTTTTAATAATCTTTATGTACTACTTATATGTCTGTTCCATTGTGACCTACAGTAGCCTAAATGACGTCATCAAAAGCGTGATGTCCTTCAATTCGTATTCTTCTATATCTCTCTTCGTCTTCTTCTTTATCAGCTTCGTATTCGTCCCATCTTAAAGATTTGGGGCCAATATTTAGTTAGAGGTGACTAGGCCATAGTCAACGCAAGCCCAGTGCGGGTTGGTTGACCACACACATATCTTTGAATTTATCAAATATGTGCAGGTTGCATTACGATGTTTTCCTTCACCGTAAGGACAAGGGATAAATCTCCCCTACCATTTTAATCTTGAAGGAGGGTAGGCCAAGTAGTACTAAGTTAATAATTACTAATAGATTTAGATGTTTTTTGTCACTATACAGGTTTACGGTAACAGTTGAGTCGGAGAACAAGAAGAATGGCATCCATACAGGTGCGAGTATTATCACACGACCTCTGCGGTCTTCCGCTGAGACTGCGGAGCGAGGAGATGCAATTGTTGGCTCTCAGCCTGATACATGGCTGCACGATGCCGGCTGGCGTAGAAAGCGGTCACTGGCACAGCTTACCAGGGAGGCGTTACCACGTATGGAGAACTATAGGAACTCTAAGCGGGCCCTCAAGAGACCTAGCTTGGGGGAACTGCATGGAGATAACCTTATCACTGAGGAGGTAATATTTAAGTATTCTTATTTTAACAATGGATACCGAACAGAAAGAACTCATTAGTATCCTTAGACATTGGACTTTCAAGTCTCGGAATATAATTCACATGTCGCTTGTATCTAAAATTGAGGTTATCTTACTAAATTACAATGAATAATGGAAATAATATCGATACAGGAAAAAAATCCTCAAAACTCCAAAAAATCACCTCACAGAAATCGACTACTAAAAAGGATAAAGATTTCAAAAGTTAATCCCCGTCTGGTTTCAATCGATTTGTTTTCCAAGAAAACATAAAGTGCATATTGCTAAGATTTTATCAGATATGTCAAGGCGAGACTTGAAGGCTCCTCGGTGGACGAACATCTATTGTATAGCAATTTATTGTAAACTAGCTTTACCTGCGACTTCGTCCGCGTAAAAACTGTCTTTGAGCTGTGCGCGGTACTTGACAGTACGCGGACATTGCAACATTACTTTATTTTTCTAAAGAAAAAGATTTTTTTTAAATAATCGTAGGCTAAGTTACTCCTTACTACATCAGCTATCTGCCAATAAATTCCTTCAAAATCGGTCCAGCCATTTAAGAGATTAGCCTGAACACACAGACTGACATAAAAAACAAAAGAAGAACACAAAAGACACAAAAAATTGTAAAAAAAATATTTTGGTGTATGTACCGTATTCATATACATGTAGTATAAAATGGTTATTTCAATATTACAAACGGACACTCCAATTTTTTTTTATATGTATAGATTCATAGAAAGGCTGTGACGTTATCGTCGCGACTAGACTAGATTGTTCAATAAAATTTGCAAATTTAGTCATTTAATATTCTGCACCATGCTCTGTGCAGGTGTCTCGTCACTGTAGGTTAGATTGAGTTTCCACTACCGAAACGCTTATGCAGAAAAATATAGTCATCTCACTTTCTTTTATTAAGTATGAGTAAGACGATAACATTGTTTCGATGCGAGTCAGCCTACAGTAATGCTATGACCAGAAATATTAAGTCTATTCCTGATGTAGTAGAAGTACGTGGGCGGTTTATTGGTTTAGATAAAATGATTGCTAGGTCTTTTTTGTAATATAAATTTGAGACTAAAGATGCTAACATAATATTTTTATTCAAATTCACAACTACAAAAAAATGGAATAAGCTTATTGAATTCCATCGACCTATTTACTAAGTCGTAAATTGAACTTATTATCTAAATTTGTCGGTCGTTTATAAAATCAGAATAACTTTATTAGCTCCTAACAGCTATTTCTGCCTACACCATACGATTTTTAAGGTACGCGTCCATTGGCCTACGACGAACGGACCACACGCACGGCCGGCAACGGATTTATTTTCTTTTGTATGATTTTACATATCGCTGCGTCCATTAACCATGCCAACCGCATCGAAAGACGGTATTTATCAACAAATCGAGACAGGCAGTGTGTTCGGTGCGTCCAACGCGGGCCAACTGATCCATACCTTAAATGTTGTTTTCAAATTACTGATAAAACTATTATTTCGATTGATTGGTTAACGAAGTTCTCAATCTCTTTCAATCATGGCCTCAAAAAGAAGCCCTAGACTTCAATTTAGTAAACAATATGACGTCATCAAGATTTTTTTTAATTATTGACATCAATTAACAAGCGTCGACGTCCACTTAAAACGAGAGTAATTTATCGTCAGCCATTTTCTCTGTGATATTATATTGTACGCGGCGGTTCTCACCGGTATTGTTTGGTTCCGGCCACTTCTGTTCTGTGTTATCTAGTCGTAAAGATTTCTTATATTCAGTACTTGTATTGTTTAGAACTATGTAGTTAATTGTTGCATGGCAATTGAGTCTGTACTAACATTCTATATATATTTGTACGAGCTGGGTCAGTTTTAGTACGTCCGGCGCCATGGGCGAGATTTTTGTGGCTCCTTTTTTTATTGTCGGGGGAAATCTCCCAAAGATTCCACAGCGCCCTGGGCAGCGCCGCACCTCGCGCTATCTACCGCTGACACTGTATACTAGATTATTTACTGTAATCAATGGTGCTTAATGTAAATAAGGGTTGGTAGAGAATGAAGAAACAGAAAATTCTGAGATCAGAAAACGTTAATTTCTATTTAATTTTGGTTGCGATCTATGTAAACCGCGTGTATAATCAACTTGAGATCTGCAGTCCATTTACTAAATTTTGTTTTAATCTCTTTACTATGTTTGCATCATATTTCATGGTTTGCAGGTGCCATATTGATGGTAAATCTATGTCAATAAGAAACAGGTGTGGGGCATAACGAATCTGTTTATTCCGTTGTTTAGCTAGGCAGGCTAGTGCGAGGTGCGACGCAGTCACCGCTCACTGCACATCATAGATCGCTGTCAACTGTCACTTGTTTTACGTAGGGTTGTCACGTAATGAAAACTTCTTAAAGACTTTCTTCTTAAAGATTTGAATTTAAGAATTGATTTCCTTATTAGTATGTCTCTCATACTATTTGCTTATCTTGAAGAGGACATGAATACGGGTCAACCTATCTTACTAATATTATAAATGCGAATGTTTTGATGGATGTTTATTAGAAGTTATCTGCAGAATGGCTCAACGGTTCTCATGGAAGAACACATAAGTCACTAATTAAATTAATTTCGAGCAGACGGAGTCGAGGGCGACAGTTAGTTTATAATATAACCAAAAGTATCCTTTGTACTTCATTTATATAAAAATATATAATACGATAATATTGTAATACTGTTATTGTCACTATATCCTTATAAATAATAGATCATAAAATTAGTAGTCATGACGCATATTAATGACGGAATGTTTTTCCACATCAAAGCTTATGAACGCTTTCCTGCGCACGCGCAAGCAATCTATAAGCGTGGTGGTAATGCATAATTATGATTAGAGATTTCGATAATTAAAATTAGCATAGAACAGTATTTTACTGTTTTTGTATGAACTTTTTAAAAACGTAATATTTTTTTTTTACTTTTAATATTTTATTAATCTCTTTTAAGTTTGTTATTTTATTGAGTCTATTTAAATTATTTGTCAGAAAACTATTGTTTTTAAGAAAAAAAAAATTATAAGTATGGTTGGCAACCCTGGATGGCATTGTAACTGCGCATGGTCGGTGATGTGTGCAATTTGCATTATTACATAAAGAAGTAAATATGTTATTTATTATAAGATCTCGAATATAGATTACTTCATTACAACAAAAACATAGAAATTCAAATATTATTCAAATAAAAGCAATATTTGTCATGTTTTCTAAACAGTTGAAAACTACCCTAGTTTTTCCTACCTGGAATAGACTTTCAGACTATTAATGGAAGATCTATGTGCCGACGACGAAGGCGACTCTACCCTCAATATATCAATTATAAAAAAATTCTCATCACTACAAATGATGTCTTTCAAAATATTCATGGTGTTATTTTTAAAGAATTTTATATAATCTTGTCTGTTTCTTATTTATCTAAAATTAATTTATTATTTCAGGACGAACAACGACAACACCAAAGAGAAACTAAATCACCAACGCCTGTTGTCGGCATAAAATTAGGATGGATTCAGGTAAGGATACATTTTGTTATGAAATTATTATTATATTTGACTGAAATAAGCATTAAGATATTATATTATATATTAAGATATTTAAATTAAGATAATATCTAGATTATTTGCTAATTGCCCCGTAAACTTTAAAACCTACAACTATTTTGCAGTTACATATTCACCTAATTTTTGGAGGTTAGAAACAATTTTATGACATGTAAATTTACTTAACACAACAGATCGCAGATATACAAAAAGTTTTAAATATTAACTTCCTAATATTATAAATACTTAAGTTTAGATAGATGTTTGTTAGAAGGTATCTCCATGACGGCTAAACGAATCTTGGTGAAATTTGCCATAGTTGGCGAACATAGTCTTGAAGAACACATACTTATTAAGTTTTTTTAATTCCGCATGGACGTTGTCTCAGATCAAAAAGTTCCATTCATTTGTTTTGTCTGCTCGTTTTCTGTATTGTGTTCTTGTTATACAGGGTGTGCTGATACCATGTCTCCTCAACATCTGGGGTGTAATGCTGTTTCTGCGTATCTCGTGGGTGGTGTCGCAAGCGGGCATTGGCTTATCGTTGCTTATCATCGCTCTGTCGGCCATTGTTTGCGTCATTACCACCCTCTCTATGAGCGCCATATGCACTAATGGAGAGGTGAAAGGAGGTAAGTGATTACATTTTAAGTCTTACGCATTTAGACTCTTTTAGAAAAATTCTAAGTGTACATTTCTGAAGGCAGCAATCAATCGACGATTTTTTGCTATATGGAAAACCTTAAAATACATCTTAATTATGGCTGAATGTTTTATGTGTATCTTAAGATATTAAGAACGAAAGTACCAAGCATTGAAGACAAGCGTTATTTAAAGATTTAATACTTCCCCGTGCGGTGACATTAATGTTTAAAAACTGGATTAGGCAAAGGAATAGTCATGAGTTTAAAAGTAAAGTATTTAAAAGTGCGCTTAATATATTTATTATTTTCTTTCATAAAAATTTAACTGTCCATTCATATAACCTAACTTAAACAAAGACAATATCTTTGTTTGAGTTGAACATTGTCCTATAAAAATATTTGCTGATTGTTACAAGATGTCAGAACGGACACATCCACGAGGCCTAGACGGCGTTAAAACAACATATATGTGTACTCACGGACTACATACAGGGTGTCTGGGAATGACTACACGTCATCGGAGTATTACAGATTCCTTGGTCGAAAATATGATGATTTAACCCAACTTACCTGTATGCAAAGTTGCTTCGTTTGCCCTCTAGAGGGCTTTAAAATTGTTAAAAGGATACCCTGTATAGTATTAACTACATAGGTAGCCCACCGAATGCGTCTCTGCTTGTATTTACTCGGCAGTGTTATGTTATGTACAAATAATTACATAATGTAATATGTGGCGCTATAATGCAGTAAAACAACTATTTATGAGTGATATTTATTATAATATATAATAAGATAAAATGATGTAAGTTCATTTATATACGGTTAAATCTACGATATCTTTTGCCACTGATTCTTTGACTACTCTAGAAACGAGTCTGTCGTTTAATGATTACTTCAACGATTATTTATCATGCTATGAGATGTTTGCCCGCCTCTTTGTTAGCGTGGGTTTTAAAATATTATACATACATAGGCTACCTTCCAGCCGAAGTCCCTGTAGAATCGGTTCAGCCGTTCTGGAACAAACAAGGTCTTACGGACAGGGTGGTAGACAAACATGTTTAAAATTTGTCCATAATTTTTAAAGTACAGTAAAAAGGAACACAAATACACCATGTTAACAAAATATTTATTTGATATTACATACAGACATTCTATTTTTTTTTATTGTATACATTTAACGACATATAGTACGTAGTCGTTTGTTTTATTCAAAGATATAAAGGGGAAAAGTTATCCAGTAACCAGATCAAGGTGAATTCGTAGTAAAAACATCCACATAGATTATTTACAACTTGTTGCCTTACAGTTCGTTTTATTCAAGTAATAAATCATACAAAAGTCTCTGATACATATGAAAACATTCAATGGGAATTTCTGTTGTAAATTTCACCTCAAATACCTGTTATATAGGTTACAGACAAATTTAATAAATATTATTTTAAATAAATAATATTAGTTAAAAGTTTTTATTATCTTTATTAAAGTACTTTTGTGACACTCTTTATTCTTTACTAGCTGTCGCCCGCGACTCCGTCCGCGCGGAATTAAAAAAAAACACAATTAATCAATAAAGTTCAAATTGACTCTACATTTTAAATAGAAATCGTTTATATGGGAAAAGAAAAGTTCGGTTTTTAGGGTTTTCCCGGTAATTATTCGATTTTTTCTCACCTTTTAAACCTTCCCTAGACCTCCACGAACATTTCAAGACCAAAATAAGATAAATCCGTTCAGCCGTTCTCCATTTTAGCGAGACTAACCAACAATTTTTATATATATAAGACAACGAGGCTATACATAGTTGTCAAACATTTTCAGATATTTGAAACCCTTGTAAAATGGTTTCGAATGTGTTTACGCTTTGATTGATAAGAAATTTTATATTTAGTTGTCAATATGTTTTTATATAATTAATATTTCATTGAAAAAATAACAGATTAAAATCGTTGCATAACCAAAAAATTAAACAAAATTTATAATCTGTTACAAAGTCTTTTACTTCGTTACATAATAATGAATATATTTATAAAGCGTACAAAATTAGAACATGAAAATAATAATATTGTTTCAGGTGGAATTTATTACATCATTTCAAGATCTTTGGGCCCGGAATTCGGCGCGTCAGTTGGTATTATATTTGCATTCGCGAATGCAGTTGCAGCGAGTATGAACACGATTGGTTTCTGCGACTCCATGAATGATTTACTAATGACTCAGGGTGTGAAGATAATTGACAACGGGCCCAATGACGTCAGGATCGTAGGCACAATAGCTTTGATACTTATGTGTATAATTTGCGCTGTCGGAATGGATTGGGAGAGCAAAGCACAGGTTATTATTATTTTATTAATTTTCTATTACTAATTTAGACATAATCTGTTTGTTCACGTTAGTAGTTTAAGAGGAAGTCTAAAAGAAACACTTCATATTGGAATAATAGCTGTCACCTGCGACGCCATACGCGCGAAATAAAAACATATTATAATAAGTAGCCTATGCGTTCTTTCATACTATGTTCTATATCTGTGCCAAATTTCATGATGAGAGACGCATGCAGCCGTTCTAGAGATACCATCTTATCCATCCATCCAAACATTCGCATATATAATAGTAAGATTACTAATAATAACAATCTGTCGGTTTAAGTACTTTAAAAATAGTTTCAAAGTAAGCATTTTTATTGGAATATTACTAGTTAATAAACATGTGGAATTTAAAAGAAATTGCAATATTTTTGAACATAAAAAATTAATTAGATGAACACATCATAAGTAACATGTCTTAATAAAAAAGTGTATGTTAGAAAAAAGAAAGTTTATGTATGTAAAGACGAGTATGAACGCTTCTGGAATATTCCATTCGCAAAACAATGTATAGACGTTAAATTACAAGGACGTGATGGAAGATTGATCGTAATATAGCTTCATTGCCAAAGACGCGCGTGTCCCCGAGTTAAAGCTTCGCGTTTAATTAAATCCCTAAATTACTTTTAATTGCAAATTAAATGTACGCGCCTTAATGTACATTTAAGGAAGTTTATTTCCTTTACATTTCGTTAAATATCTTTTGAATTTTATTATTAAATTGGATCGAAAACATATCATATATTAGCGGTCGCGACTTCGTCCGCGCGGATTTAAAAAAATAGCAATTAGTAGCCTTTGTGTTCTTCCAAACTATGTTCTATTTCTATGCCAAATTTCAACAAGATCCGTTCAGACGTTCTGGAGATACCTTCAAACAAACATCCATACATGTTAACATTCGCATTTATAATATTAGAAGATTACAGAGGCACTAAATGGGAAGTGAATTTAATTCTCTGACTGTATGTGTGTACTGTTTCGCGACTATTAAGGCAATTATTTCGTTAAGATCACAAGAAGCGATCGTGCAAGTCTTTAACTGAACGAATTGTAAACTGGTTCCAATGGGCATGGATCTAGGTATAGAAATAGCGATCTTGCAAATGGTGTCCTACAAACGCCTTTCAATATAAGTTTATGAATCGCTCGATTGCAAAAATAGGCGCTCTATTAAACGTTTCATTGCTGTTTGGTTCAAGTTTAATAGGTCACTACCCTATGCTTTAAATCGACCTAAATGAACTATTCGATACAAGTTTTTTTGGCCTTGGACTAAAGAGGTTTTAGGTGCTATAAATATGATTATTTTCGCATTTATAAGCTCTGCTTTTTAAAACACCGTAAGATTGTTCCTTTTACTGTGGGTTTCTTAGACCATAATCCCAATTTGAAAAATATTGTTTTGTAGAAAAACAATAACAGGGATAATATGTTTTATAGATTTGGTCTCAGAAACAAAATGGTTAATCGTCAGAATACTTTTAAACGTCTGTGAGTAGTAATTACACTGTGTCCCAATAATTGTAGTATTATTTATCTTGTCTTTTGCAGAATTTCTTAATTGCGATAATTGTGGTTGCAATGGTCGACTTCATGGTTGGTACATTTATGGGTCCAAACGGCGTTGAGGAATTTTCTAAAGGATTTGTTGGTTTAAGTGGTGAGTTGTCATTTCATATATATGTAGGTAACTTTGTCAACATTATTTAAGGTTTCTTTTGAACGTTCCCAAAATGAATTTTTCCTAAATGAATTTTTAAATATATTAACTTTGTAACTCTTATTGCTTTCAGCGTCGGTATTCGATTCGAACTTGGGCCCTGACTTTCGCTACAGCGAGAACTTGGATCAGAACTTCTTTACGGTGTTCGCCATCTTTTTCCCATCGGTGACTGGGATACAGGCAGGAGCTAACATCTCTGGAGATCTTAAGGTAAGTAAAAGGTTAAACGGGTTAAAATAAAATATTATTGGTTAACAGCGATACCCTAATAGTTTATTTGTATTTGATTTTGAATATCATTTTAGTTATTCACGGTTTGCAGCAACATTCGGTGTTCCTCGGGTAGCCCTTTAATCTTACTTCTTAGTAATATTATAAATGGGAATGTTTAGATAAATAGATGGATGTATGGAATTTGAAGGTATCTCCGGAACGGGTTAACGGATCTTGATGAAATTTAGCATAAATGTATGAAAGAACACATGCGCTAATTAAACTTTATTTTTACACCGCGCGGACAGAGTCGTGGACGGCAGTTAGTGTACTTATTACTTCAGAGTCAGTAAACTTAGGTTTGGTAGTTCTTTTTAAAGAATATGATTTAAATGTAATAATTATTTTACCCTGAAAAAGTTCATTTGTTCTACGAAAAAACAAAGAATTAATGGAAGTTGTATCGAATTGCGGAGTAAATAAGTTTAATGGAAACGCTGGTAGGTCGCGACGTCAGCACGCCGTAATTAACTGGTGGGCGACGCGCGCATTTATTGTGTCACAATACTTTTGAGTCACCACTGAAAGACTATGCGTAGCTTAATTGTACGTCCAGTCCAGCCCCTGATGAGAACTGAGTCTGACATACAGACTTAGTTCTTATCAGGGGCTGCAGTGATACTTTTCTTACTATCATATGTAGATACAAACACTTAGAACATTCGTACACAAAACTACATAAGTTTTGGAAACTAATGTTGTTTAGTTACGTAGCGAGTATGTCGTTGCGCGCCCCGTACTCTTTGACGTTACTAGCTGTCGCCCGCGACTCCGTCCGCGTGGATATATAAAAAAACTTAATTAGTGTAGCCCACCATCCATCCACATCACATCCATCTAAACATTCGCATTTACAATATTGGTAAGTTAAATAAAAAGCAACTCTTCAAGGCATAAATTCGAAAAATCCTATGTCCGTCTCCTGGCTCTAAGCTACCTCCTCACCAATTTTCAGCCATATCGGTAAAGCCGTTCTTGAGTTATAAATAGTGTAACTAACACGATTTTCTTTTATATATATAGATTAATTAAAATCCTTTGGTGCGTATGGCGCGCTTTCATTACAATGTGAAGTGTCAGAATGATTAGTGAGGGAACATAAACGTCGACATTTTAGTTTGGCTAGTGTTCCGCCAGTACACCGGCAGAGTGTCGGATTTTCTAAGTAACAGTACATACAACGTTATGTCGTCGACGCGAATCGGCCAACCATTTTAATATATATTAAAATTCAATGAACCTCTATTAAAAATTTATATGCTATGCATACTTTTATATGCTTTGTGCATAATAGTTTTGCCATTTCTACGAAATCTCTACCTAGTTCGTAGCTTAGAAATCATCGCGACAGAAACGAGGTCATAGCTATACTTGCTTGAAATACAACTGGGACGAAATTGGATTGCAATATATCAGGAAAGTTGGTCCTATAGTACCTACTTATTCTTCTGTTTACAATATTTTGGATTGGTTTTTTTAGAGACTCGATTTCAGTTGACCAAAAGTATTCTTATTTTTATAATGTCTTTCCATTACTGGAGGTTGGCCGACAGCGAACCCTGTCCTGTGCTATTCTTGGATGTTGGTAAAAAAATAAGTAAAATAATCTTTTTGAAAATTAAATTGACCATGAAAGTACTATTAGCTCCCCCTTTTTTTTCCGGAACGATATAAATTTTCTTTACTTATAAGCATAAAATTATTGCTGTTATATTTCAAATGGTTTTTTTTTTAATTTTTATTAAACGGATCATTGTTTGTATCTAAAGAAGGTCCTTGTATTAAAACCGCTTTAACTTCACATGTCTCGGTAACATCAATTTAAGTTATTTCTTATCCAAGTTTTTTTGAAACTTGAAACTGCCTTCTCCACACCTAAGTTTGTTTCATGTCAATTATTGCACTGTTTGTCCGAATAAGAGCGGGTCATTTGGGGTCACCATCGAACACGTGGAGTGGCATCGATCTGCGCGGCTGTTGTGGGAGGGGGTGCTACGATGACGTCACACTTGTTGCACGTCTATGTCACCATATAAAGCGAGGGAGTGGGTTACGCTTTTAAAGCAAAATATACTGTAAAAGAAACTCCTACTACATTAACACGTATGGTGCACTAACTGTCATCCACGACTCCGTATGCGCGGTAATAAAAAAACATAATTAGTGGCCTATTTTTTTTCCAGGCTATGTTCTATATGTATGCTAAATTTCATCGAGATTCGTTCAGCCGTTGTAGAAGTACTTTCAAACAAACATCCATCCATCCATCCATCTAATCCTTCGCATTTATATAAGTAAGAAAGATGACAGGTACATGACCGCAATCAAAGTACTTTAAACATGGAACGAAATTGTACTTCCTGAAATAGATATTTTATGGAATTGTAGAACTTCTTTGCATATATTCTGCAGTGTACACGATTATTCTCTCGGGCTGGAAACGTATAATTTACATCGTCTGACTACATCAGATATGTTCTGTGCTAAAAAGTCTAATGCAATCACCACGAAGATTCGTTCGTTATAGCATTATAAAACAACGATAGAAATAAATCGAAGTAGGTAACCATAGAACTAGCAATTGCCAATAAATTCAATTGCGCCCACAATTTGGGAACAAACCGTCAATATGTCAATTAAATTGACCAAAATTTCCAAATCATATTGCTGGCTATCGAACTATGATCTCGATATATCTATTACGTTTAGTTTATTAGGTCGGTGACGTTTCGAAGTTCGAGATTCGAGCTATTCAAGAAAAAAAATCAACTCGACTCTTCCACAATGATATACACCCTTCTCATATTCCTTAAGCAAAAATGTGTCAACGTTTCAACACCATCGTTTGAAACTTTGTTGGAACTTTTTGCAACGTTGTTTTCGTCATATCGTTTGTTTCTCGTATTATCGTCATATTCTCGTAAGAATCTTTAGGTGCGGAATTAATGTGTTTATTATTGTTTCCAGTGGCTGAACATTTCGTACGACATGTTCAATCAATGTAAATTATTCATACGTGAAAATGTTTACTTCTTATGATAAACGTCTCTTAACCTTTCAAAACAAACGAATATGTTTGTTAACTTAACTTTAGGAAGTAAATAATAAAAGCCAAAGAAGATTATATCGTTACCAAGCTGATAGAAATAGAACCAAAATAGTATTTTAAGGAAATCTGGATAAAGATAAGAGGAAATGACTTTAGTGACCAATCAGGAAAATATTTATTCAGTCATAATATTCCTAGAACGAAGCCAGTGATTCAACAAGCAAATGAACGACGAAAATCATTTAAAACGTCAATCCATTCGCTCCCGAGAATGAAAATAAATGGATCATTGTCATTCACAGAATTGAACTGTTATTAAATGAAACTCATCATATTCATTCATCAATTATCTTTACATTCATTTTGGATGTAACTTCGCATGCCAGGCGCGTGCCATTTATTTGATGACGCATCAACTAATAAGAAATGATCAAAGCTTAATATGCGTTCCTCTATCTTTGCGTTCAGTAAATTCTTCAACACTTACTCTTTACCAATCAGCGCAAACTTGCTAAAAGGTTTGATATAATAATCTAGAACCTTGTTTGCATATATCGACCTTCGAATCTATAAGTTATGTTACCGTACAATTGCTGAAATGTGATGACCAAAATGATCCGTTAAACATATTGACTGATGTTTGTTATTATCTTATAGGATCCAGCTTCAGCTATCCCCAAGGGCACACTATTAGCTCTGCTGATCTCCATGGTGAGCTATGCGCTAATGGTTTTGATCTCTGGTGGTGGCGCACTGCGGGACGCCAGCGGCAATATCACTGATATTCTGTCAATCAACGGCACAGTTACCGATTATAGTGCCATTAGCAACTGCGTCAATTCAACACTCGGCTGCAAATATGGCTTGCATAACAGCTACTCGGTAAATATTCTTTTCATTCATAGAATAACGATAACAAGGAACTTATTTGAAAATGATGCTTAAGAATGGGTGCTTTGTTATTTGTATGTAGGTAATGCAACTGATGTCAGCGTGGGGTCCGTTAATCTACGGAGGGTGCTGGGCAGCGACGCTATCAACGGCGCTCACCAACCTGCTATCAGTGCCCCGACTGATCCAGGCGCTCGGTGTGGACCGCATCTACCCCGGACTTATCTTCTTCGCCAAACCTTACGGCAAGCACGGCGAGCCTTACCGCGGATACGTCCTTACATTCTTCGTCTCTCTTATCTTCCTTCTTATTGGTAAGAATACATTGATTGTTAATGATTATCGCCTGATTTTCTAGTTCTGTCTCTTACTTAGTGAAATGTTTGCAGCTGACCTGAACACGATAGCACCCCTGATTTCCAACTTTTACCTGGCTTCGTACGCACTCATCAACTTCTGCACGTTCCACGCTGCTCTGGTCAGACCTCTCGGTTGGCGACCCACATTCCGGGTATGTAAAAATTTTACCAGAAAATATAATGTCTCTACATGTATTCACAGGTCTATAAGCTAAGATACTGTTGATTTCTCAAATACTGTCTGAATTTCTTTACTTTTCTTTTTACAGTACTACAATGTGTGGGTGTCGTTGTTGGGCTTCCTGATGTGCGTGGCGATCATGCTGCTCATCAGTTGGGTCATGTCGCTCGTCACCTTCGCTATCTTCTTTACCCTGTACCTAATAGTCCATTATCGGAAACCAGGTGTGTTTAAGTATCTCGTACATACATCGTGTTAACACGTGTCTGCGCGTTAGTAGCATAACCTACGTTACGAACGTAAATAGTCTGTTGACTGAAAGCTAAATTTGTATCGGTCTCAATGAATTATTGCCTCATTTTCTCTTTAGTACGTTCACGTACTCTATTGCATTGAAGTTGCATAAATATAGATATCGTTGCTACATACGATTGACGTTTTATTTAGACGAGCGTAGTAACTTCTTGAATCTCGGAGGAAAACTTGTTTAATATTTTGAATGTAAATAAAAATTGTTAGTTAAAAAAGTGGTTAACGATTTCTTTTTTCTGTCAAGCACAAAGTAGAAAGGCCTGGCAGGTTTTTGCATTACTCCAAAAGTGATTTTACCTTTTATACATTTTGAAACTGTATGACGAATCTACAATACCACGGGAACGGGCTGGTGTTTGGATATTCATTGATAGCATTACTCAACCTTCATCATATTTACGTCAAAGTAATATTACGTATTGTATGTCAGATGTGAACTGGGGCAGCAGCACGCAAGCGCAGATGTACAAGACGGCGCTGGCGAGCGCGCACAGTCTGGCACGCACGGGCGAGCACGTCAAGAACTACTGGCCCCAACTATTAGTGCTAGCAGGTCGTCCGCAGCATCGCCCCGCCCTCGTCGACCTCGCCCACCTCCTTACCAAGGCCGGATCCCTCATGATCGTCGGCGACATATCTCCCGTATGTACATGAACAGACATAATGAGTACATTTGACATCACATGTATTATCTGTAATTTTTATGAAGTACCTTTGTTAAAATAACCTTTTAAAAACACAACTGGGAACTAAGTTTACAAATTTTTTGTATAGCGCCATCTATTAACTAGCGATAAATTTCTTCCAATTGCAGACGAAAATGTCATACAAGGAGCGCGCTCGTGTGGCGCGTGCGGCTGACGAGTGGCTGCGCGGGCGCAAGTTACGCGCGTTCTACTCAGCAGTCAGCGGATACGGGTTCGAGGAGGGCGCGCGCGCGTTGATGCAGGCGGCGGGCGTTGGCCGCCTCGCGCCTAACGTGCTGCTCATGGGTTACAAGGCCGACTGGGCTACCGCACCTGCACAGGACCTTGTATCCTACTTCAATGTACTACAGTAAGTTCATTCGAGAGACTTCGTCGCCCTCAGAGATTTTTATTGATCAATAAGGAAATCTCTTAGTCATTTTTGACTAAGTCTACACTAAGGGAAACCACTTAATGACTACGACAATTCTAATGTTTAGAAATATTAAATAAGCATAAACCTAAATATACTACTAGCCGTAGTAGTTAATCGTATCTATTTCAACAGCACTGCGTTCGAGACTCGCTTGGCTGTAGCGATGGTGCGGGTGAGTGGCGGGCTGGACTTCAGCGCGGTGGCAGGGGAGGAGGCGCCGGCGTCGCGCGGCCTCACCGCCACGTCGGGCAGCAGCGCCGAGCTGCGCGTGCGCGCTACCGCCCCCCACATCCTGCACGCAGACTCCGACCTCGACCTGCGCGCACTGCACCCCGACTCGCAACCCTCCAGCCGGCACAATCTTAGTACGTACCTCGTAACGTAGCCTTAGCATTGACCTTTCATACACTAAGAAATGTTTAAGATATAGGACTTACAGTTAGGATATTAGTACAATAAATTATAATCTGTATAACCTTATATTATTCCAGATTTATTGACACTTACGACATCTCGTTCCTTTACAATATCCGAGAAGAGTGATAAAGAAAAGGACAAGGAGAGAGAAAAGAAAAAGGACAAGAAACCGATTGATTTCCACAAGCAGATAATTTACAAATCATCTTCCGGCCTCGAGGTTTCGAACGATCAGTTATCGCAGATGAGCATATTCCAGAGAAAACAGGTATTTGAGTATTTTGTTCCCCCAATATTCTGTCATTCAACGCTTAATTTTAAGTGCCAACGTAGAGAGACGGCTTCAAGTACTCGATGGCACAAAAATTACCTGTGTTCGGTGATCCTAAGTCGGTTGTTTGATTTCACGTGCTTATGTAAACACGAGTATGTATCGCACAGGAGGCGGGCACGGTGGACGTGTGGTGGCTGTACGATGACGGTGGACTGACGATGTTGCTGCCATACATACTGTCGCAGCGCTCCAGCTGGGCCAGCTGCAAGCTGCGTGTCTTTGCACTCGCCAACAGACATCACGAATTAGAACTGGAGGAGAGGAAGTAAGTAATACGTCAACGTTTACGGAATAACAGCAATGAATTGGTCGACACACCCTATTTAATGCAAACAGACCTTGCTGAGAAATTAGGATAGTGAAGACTTGAAATTTTGCCTGAAAAGTCACAATAAAATATCAATCTTGTAAAGTCCTAGAAAATAGAGAACAAAAATTAAATCATTTTAATAATTAGTAACTCTACCGTTGATAGTCTTTTGAAGGATTAATAAAAAATCAAAAGCTATAACAATTTTGGCGTTGTGTTTAATTATTTTATATTTGGTTTCCAGTATGGCGAACTTGCTGGCCAAGTTCCGCATCGACTATTCGTCGCTAACAATGGTGCAGGACATCACGGAGCCGCCGCAGCCGGAGACGAAGCAACTCTTTGACGATATCATCAAGAGTTTTGTGGGTGACAATGCTAGAGAAGGTAATTCATCAACTATTACTATGAATACGATACAAAACCCACTGTGGTTACATGTCATCGTATCTGAATTCTTACCGTATTTAATTAAAGACTTTTAAATAACTAACCACTACAAAACAAATGAATAAATTAATACTATATTAAATAAACTATATACTAAAACTAAACCAAACTAAAAATAAAACTAAATAATATAAAAAATCGAGCCCAAATCACTGCGCTCGCACGATAGGGTTCCCAAGACGCTGGCGGCATTTCCCCGCTGACTTTTTATTAAAGTTGGTATATAACATTGTATTTCAGATTGCCGCATCAGTGAGTCCGAGCTGTCGACGTTGGCAGAGAAGACCAGCCGTCAGCTGCGACTGCGCGAGTTGCTGCTGGCCAACTCGCAGGAAGCGCGTCTTGTCGTCATGTCATTACCCATGCCTAGGAAGGTGAGAACATTATATGTCTAAAATATAAAGTCCAATGTACTTTTGATTTTATGGTCTTAAAAATTTTTTTTGTTTGCAAATATCTATGGATGTCAATTTACTTAATTTGAGAGGACCTTCCCCTTTTTCCTATGAAAAAAAAATTAAGCAACATTTCACTAAATATTTTAACTAGAATCACCAGAATTTGAGGGATTTTTATGGAGGGATGAGGAGAAAAAATCTTTTAAGATCTCGTTAGAGTCGAGCTACGAATTCCTTGAGCTCTCAGGTCCTCGAGTTCGTTGACCTTTGTCCTAACAAGAGGATACCTAATAAATCAAGCCTTAAAGGAATTTGAACCGTAGTTTGACTTGAAATTAAACTACTGTCAAGTATTACTTCTTGTTTTTTTCTCAGCTATCATAAAGATATATAGCATGGGGTATTTGTAAAAGAGTTTCTACAGTAATTTGTGTGCGCAGGGTTCAATATCTGCGCCGCTGTACATGGCGTGGCTGGAGGTGATGAGCCGCGGTCTGCCGCCCATGTTGTTTGTGCGCGGCAACCACACCTCCGTCCTCACGTTCTACTCATAACTTCATACTGAGAAACATTACGCGAACACCCTCACTATAAGTACATTTTTGTTGTCTTAAATGTAGGAAAAATGCAAACGTGTCATGATTAATTTATTATTAAGTATAACTTTATTTAATTTAATAAAGTTAAATAAAGTGTTAATTAATAGTTAATTTAATTATCTAAATTATTCTTTTTTAGTAATATTTTTTTTTATTATAGAAAATTCAAAACATTCTTTTTTTGTATTTTTGTTTAGAATTACTATTAATCATTTAATAAAAAGTTACTTATTATTTTGTATTAGTGTTAGAAATGTTTTGTAATCGATATTTTTTAATATATTTAGAACTTAATATTACAACCAAAGTTCATCTCCACATTACAGTATTGTTATTAATGTTAATTGTATAGGATAATTTATTATTTTAAATAAAAAAATAAGATAAGGGCAATTAACAATGTCCAAGTATTCAAAACTTCTGAATAAACTAATTGGAACTTCAGAACTTGGGAATTGGATCTTCAAATAAACTATGAAACGCAAACTTTGATAGGAAGATGTATCAGTTAATTTATTTCTTAGTTATCCAGTACATAACTTGAACATTGTTAAATAGGTCCATGTAGTAATTAGTTGTAGTTTTAAGTGACGTAACTTAGTTGTAAGTGTAGTACTTTCCGCTTTGTAGTACTTATTTATGTTAAGTAACGCAACTTTGAGTAATGGATAATATTTGAGCAAATCCCCGTAAAAATTATAAGCTATATTTACACCGGTGCTTTCTCTGAACCACGTACTGCCTACTAATACTAGCTGTTACCCGCAACTCCGCCTTCGTGGTGTTTAAAATCAAATTAGTTGTCTGTGTTCTTCTACATTTATGCCAAATTTTAGATATACAGCAGCCGTTCTGGGGATACCTTCTTACAAACATCCATTTATATATTCAAGCATTCGCATTTATAATATTAGTAAGACTAGCTCTCGCTAGGAATAAATTCGTAGTCTGTGTTCTTGCAGATTATGTTCTACATCTATTCAAATTTCAGCTATATTCGTTTGATTGTTGAGATATCTGATAACAAGAATCCATCCATTTAGCTAAAAGTTCGCATTTATAATATTAGTAAGATATTATGAACATATTGGAAGAAAAAGCAGGATACGAGAAAGAGCACTGGTGTAGGAATAGTTATTGAGTTTGGAGTTGGAGATTAAAAACTATGAAAGGCAACGAAATTTAAGTATGACATTAAAAAAATATTCAGAAAAATAATTTAAACGTAATATAGGTAAGGACTATTCTGTTTGTTTTTTTTTCGATAAATAAGCCTTATTTTGTGACTTTTCTACTTAATATTACTTAAAGTACAACACATAGTACATTAATATACTTAAATGGCTAACTTACTTATCATTTATTTAACGATTTACATAATATGAAAGGGATGTATTTATTACTAGATGTCGTCCGCGACTCCGCACGGAATTAAAAAAAAACTAATGGTCACAGCGTAATATTATATAGCTTAAAACCTTTCTCTACAAATGGACTATCCAACAAAAAAAATTTTTTCAAATCGGACCAGTAGTTCCTGAGATTAGCGTGTTTAAACAAACACACTCTTCCGCTTTATATTATTAGTATATATAAACTTTATTAAGTCAATATATAGAATAAAAATGTGTGTTAAAATCAACATGTTTTTTTAAGAACAAATCAACGCTTTAACATTACATCCCATTTAACATATACTGATACTATGAAATTATTTTTTGTATAATTCATTTTAATAAATGGGAGTCATCTCGTTATCAATATTTCTATAATTACATATAGTCTTAAATCTATGATATAAAATAAAATATTAAAAAAACGAATAATTTAATAAAATTTGTTATTAAAAGGAGTCCCTTTAGGTCCCGAAGATACTGGCAGCGTTCCCCCTTTGGACAGCTAAACTAATTCTTTGACCGAGGTAGCTGCCAGCTCTTCGGTCCCCTGTGATGTCGATTAATTTTTTGGAAATGTCCTTAAAAAGTCTTAAAGCGCTAGGACCCCACAGACCAAGGGTCTCGACGCCGAATGGGACAAAATGATATTCGGAGCCTAGACCCCTGTATTTGCATGGAATTTGAAATTGAATTTGTTTGTTTTTTTTTATTTTAATAAATGCATATTCACTAATATTTTTATTGTAACTTAGTAGCATAAGTTAATGTTACATATTTTCATATTTTTTTGTAATTTTAATTGTATAAAATCAATCTAAAAAAGCCACCTCCATTTTTATGTTATCGATAAATGTAACCGCCATGAAAGACAAATTTATTTTCATATTAAATCTTTATTGTTATAAATTATACGTAAGTATTTTATTAACTTACAAATAAAATTATTTTTAGGGTTCCGTACCTCATAGGAAATAAACGTAACCCTTATACGATCACTTTGTTGTCCGGCCGTCTGTCTGTCAAGACCCTTTTCCTCAAAAACGGGTGAAGGTTTCAAGCTGGAATTTATATCAAATGTTCAGATCTGCGGTCGCTAGGTGCTGTGAAAAAATAAAGCTTCTAGGTCTCAGAAACCAACGCTTAATACTTCTTTAGGAACTTAGCCAAATTCCAGTGGAAACTTGTCCATACTAAGCTTTTCAAAACTTTTGTAAGCAGTTTCTATTGAAAATAAGTGAAAGAAAGGTAGAATGTCAATTTGATTATTATTTGTCATAACATCGGAAACATAAGTCGAAGACCAAGAAAAAGATTAATAAGTAGACTTAACTTTAAAGTAGGGATTTTGAAAATAAAGTGAACTGGGAATAACAGGTAAATCTATATTTTTCAAAGGGCTCTTGATGTTAAGGAATAACCCTTTTATCCTGTTCCACTTCTTTTCTTTCCTAAAAAAAACGTGCACTTTGATTTAAAATTTGAATCCAACTGAACGTTCCGCGACTTAAGGTACGCGTCCATTGTCCCGCATCGGATGCACCACACACACACCCCGCAAGGGATTGCTTGTTGATAAATGGCGTACGATGCGGCAAACTAAAGTGCCTCCGGTGCTTGCTAATGGACGCGTACCTTTCATCATCATCATCATCAGCTCACTATACGTCCCCACCGTGGGGCTCGGAGCCTACCCTAAGTTAAGGGTGATTAGGCCATAGTCAACCACGCTGGCCAAGTGCGGGTTGTTTGACTTTACACATATCTTTGAATTTCTTCTCAGATATGTTCATATTGCAAGTACCTTTACGTTCCGCAAATATCTCGACACTATCCCAATGTATAATTAAACCACTGCATCATATTATTACAGTAACAATGACATCACAGCATACCTGATAGATAACCAGAAATATAACTATTATAAAAATTAATAAGAAGCAGACGGAAATGTAAACATAAATTTGAACCCGCGACGTTTGAATGATTGATTGTTTTCATGACCAACGTGTGATGAGCTGTGATGTAGTCAACGAGATATTTCTCATACGATACGCAGAGTTGTTAAAACTCTACTAGTGAAAAGTTAGTATAAAACTTTTGCATAATAAATATCAATTGAAGGTAGTTAATAAAAAAATACAACTGAAGTGCTCAATAACTTTACTGTCTCTTAAAATAATCAATATCTTATTTATGAGTTTCTGCTGATTAATTAAAATGATTTAAGGGTAATCTAATTTTATTTTATTTAAAATGAAACGCAAGTTATACATAGAGATGCAACACAGACGAAAATATAATAATCTTGTAGTGGGTAATATCATTTCTTTTGCTAAAAGTATTCTCGAAAGGCAAAGAGATCTTGTAAAAATGGTGTTATGATTGTCAATGTAAGCAGAGTAAGTCAGTGTGGTGATGTTTATGAAATAAGGTAGCCGTGTCACTGGTTAATTTGTGATTTTTTTTACCTTAATTTTTTTATAATTTCTCGATATTTAAGTGTAATCATGGAGGTAAAGCTTTTGAGTGATTGTCGTAAGTATAAAAATGTTATGTAAAAACGTGTATTGTAACTTTTGAGATTTGATTCCAGTGTTGTTTAACAGTAAGGACGAAGTAATTTATATTTACATAGCATGATGTAGTTAGCAAGATTTATCGTGATTTCTATAGACATTTATCGCCAACCTAATTTAAGAGTATATTAATCTTATATAAAATATAACATTCTCGCGTCACAATTTTCGTTCCCATACTCCTATGAAACGGCTTGACCGATTCTCATGAAATTTTGTGAGCATATTGAGAGGGTCTGAGAATCGGCCAACATCTATTTTTCATCCTAAATGTTAAGGGTAGTCCCCTAATTTTTTTTTCAGACAAACACGCGGACGGAGTCGCTGGCGAAAGCTAGTTAATCACAAGCACAACTCTGCAAGCTCACAAGCTAACTCTGTCTAACTATGTCTTAGTACTAAAATAAGTGAAGATAATTTCATAAATTAACTAGCTGTCGCCCGCGACTCCGTCCGCGCGCGATTAAAAATAGATGTTGGCCGATTCTCAGACCTACTCAATATTCTCCCAAAATTTAATGAGAATCGGTGAAGCCGTTTCGGAGGAGTATGAGAATGAAAATTGTGACACGAAAATTTTATATATAAGATTATCTAAATACTGACTTTAATATAGAAGTTTTCAATTTCATACGTTTTCAGTTTCCAGAACAACTAAAATAAATGAAAATAACATGAATATGGAAGATTTAAAAAGAAGTTCTTTGGTTGAAATGGAGGTAATAATATCAAGTATTCAAATTCAATTAAATTCAAGTTACAATATCGAGAATACAAGAATGTCAATGTTTACTAATTTTAGACGAAAGAAGAGAATGATACAGAAAGAAAGGGCAACCCAACACCAGAGCTTACAACGTACGGCGGCATAAAATTAGGATGGATTCAGGTTGGTTATATTTTACTAGCGGTAGCCCGCGACTCCGTTCGCGTTATATGTATGTCAAATTCATCGAGATCCGTTCAGCCGTTCTGGAGGTACCTTGAAACATGCATCTAAACATTCGCATTTATAATATTTTTTAGATTATTAAGTATATTCGTCATGTTTTGTTATAATTTAAAATAACATATGAAGACTTAATTGAGACGATGGCAAAAATAAAGCATTACAAAAGTTATAGAGTCCTCTAACAATTGTGCAATACCGCGGCCATACCAAAGGTAGGCGTGATATTTCTGCATATTCTGATAAGTGTACTCTGTATGCTCTATTCCAGTCATATCCCGTCCCATCCTTTTCTTGAAAGGATTTCCAGGGGGTGGGACGTACAAGAAAAGGAATATTATTTTCATGAACAATCCCTTCTCTGCCCGTTTCCAGGCAACACGTCTGGAACCTTTTAACTCTATTACTTCGCTATTTTAGCGAAATGATTTTTTTTTTATATCACAAGTTGGCAAACGAGCGAGCGGCCACCTGAAATCGCTGAAATCGAAGTGACCGTTGCCCATAGACATACGCAATTGCATATGTGTTGCCTACCTTTAATCGACGGAGGAGGGGATGCACAGAAAGAAAATATTTTCCATTTCCATGTCTCCTCTCATCCGGAAAGTCCACTTCCACTTCCCATCCTTTCCTTATAAGAAAAAGGGTGGGAAGGGAAAGAGGACTAATTTTGGCCTCCGGGACGCACACTCATCAGACGAAACGCGGAATTGCTTCCACTTCACGCCTGTCTTCTGTGTGGTCGTGGTATTTCACCGGGGGAGCCGGGCCGATTCGTGCGAAGATGTTAAAGCGGGCTCTACCACTGTTAAAATGAAATGAAGACTAGCTAATTTTTCACTCTGATTAAATTCATTCAGGGCGTGCTGATACCTTGTCTACTTAACATCTGGGGTGTGATGTTATTCCTGCGCATCTCGTGGATCGTGGCACAGGCTGGTGTGGCGTTAACCATTCTCATCGTGTTGCTATCGGCGCTTGTGTGCGTCCTCACCACGCTCTCTCTTAGCGCCATTTGCACTAATGGACAGGTGCAAGGAGGTAAGGATTTAACCTATCGTGTCTAGTTCTAAACTTTTTTAGAGTAGCTACCGCATTAAGTCGCTTAAGGCTTATTGGCTAGATGTGGTTTTATGTTTATACATATACATAAACATTAATTTCTAATGAAATGGTCAATAAAGTTGACCTTTTGGTAGGTTTAGTATATTAAGGTCCTGCTTAATTTACCACGTAAAGATTTGATACATTAGTTGGTGTAGATTACTCATATTAAATCGACACTAAACGTCTCCATCCGTGACTATTCAAGGCTCAGAGCGAGTCGGAAAGAGTTTTAATAGGATATTAAACCTCATTTGTTTATTTATTAATCTTAATTTTTATATTCAGGTGGTGTTTACTATCTAGTATCAAGATCTTTGGGTGCAGAATTTGGCGCATCTGTAGGTATAATTTTTGCATGTGCAAATTCGGTTGCTGCAAGTATGAATACTATTGGTTTCTGCGAGTCCTTAAATGAATTGCTAAAGTCAAACGGCCTTAAAATCATCGATAACGATGTTAACGATATAAGATTAGTGGGGACAATCGCACTTCTAATGATGTGTTTGATCTGCGCAGTTGGAATGGACTGGGAGACTAAAACTCAGGTAAGTTACACGCAATACATATAGCTCTATTACAAAATAAGGAGAAACTTTGGTCCCGTAGTTACTAAGTCTACGCACATCCCATATTTTATTAAATACTAGCTGTCGCCCGTGACTCCGGCCGCGCGGAATTTAAAAAACTTAATAAGTAGCCTACGTATTCTTTCAGACTATGTATGAATATGGTAAATTTCATCGAGATTCATTCATTTCATGCAGCGGTTTTGGAAATACCTTTTAACAAATATTCATCAAAACATTCGATTTTATAATATTAGTAATGTATGTAATGTAGAGCGTCGGTGGCTCAGTGGTCAAGCACTTGACTTGCAATCTGCAGGTCCTGGGTTCGAATCCCGCCATGTACCAATGTGTTTTTCGATTTCCGATTTACATATGTACATTTATCCGACGTTCTTACGGTGAAGGAAAACATCGTGATGCAACCTGCACATATCTGAGAAGAAATTCAAAGATATGTGTGAAGTCAACCAACCCGCACTTGGCCAGCGTGGTTGACTATGGCCTAATCACCCTTAACATAGGGTAGGCTCCGAGCCCCTCGGTGGGGACGTATAGTGAGCTGATGATGAGTAATGTATCAAATATTTAAAATTTTTGGTACAAAATTATTAACCTTTGTAGATAATAATTCTTGAGTTTAATTGTGTCGTCCTGATTAATTTAGAATATTTTTTCCCTCTTTTCCACTCCTTTTTTTGATATACCGAAGTTTGCTTGCAGAATTTTCTGATCACTGTCATTGTTGTGGCTATCGCTGCGTACGTAACGGGCGCCTTCATCGGACCCACAAGCGGTGTACAGCAGGCACAAGGCTTCGTCGGCATTAACTGTAATTATACGTTAATTAATTATTTGTATAATAAAATAAACGCTGCTCATTTTATGCTACATTGTTCTATAATAGAAAAGAAATTAAATTCAAAAATCGTAAGCTAAAAGTAAACAGCTTTTGTTACTTCAGATTACCGTCAAAAGATCGATGCTCGTTTGTACTGTTAAAGTTAATAATGTTATACAAAATTTCATCAACAGTGGAGACGGCTGCGATAAACATTTGGCCGGACTTTCGTCACAGCGACGGCGTTAATCACAACTTCTTCACCGTATTTGCCATGTTTTTCCCGGCAGTTACAGGCGTGCAAGCCGGCGCTAATATCTGCGGTGATTTAAAGGTAACTAATATTACGTAATAATTAACTTATTAGCTATACGTTGCGTCTTCTAAATATATTGATTGCACTGCAAATTACTTCTATCAAAAACTAGTACAGTTTTGATAAATTACCAAGTTACTACATACTCTTCAGACGTGTGGATTGAAAGTAAGTCTTAATCTTCGACACATTTAAAATACGTTTATTGCAAACAAGTTCTGTTCCACAGATAAAGAACTTCATTATTTTTTTCTGGGTCAATATTAGCTGTTTAAATGTCTAGCTAATATGTGCTATTTGTCCAGGACCCTGCTACAGCTATACCAAAGGGTACGTTCCTAGCGCTGGCTATATCATTCACAAGTTACCTGGCGATGTCGGTGCTCTGCGGCACGGGGGCTCTGCGCGACGCCAGCGGGAACCTACAGGACTTGGTCAACAACAAACTAGACTCCTGCAAACCTAATTGCTTATATGGACTACATAATAACTATTCGGTACGTTATTGTTATTCGAATAGAAAAGAGGGATGGGCGAAAACAGATGAGGTTCGATATCTATTCAGAGTTTAAATCAAAGGAATAATATGTTAGCTGCTGGTGTGCCAGTCCCATCCAATATTAAAAATAAGAAACCGTTAATTTAAGTATGACTGTTAGTAAAATTATTTTCGTCACTTCATCCAGTATGTGGCCACTTTTAAGATAAGCAACTAAGAAGATGGGGAGACAACGAGTAAGTTATTCATCGTTACCTTTGTCGATTGTTGTCTAGATAATGCAACTGATGTCACTATCGAGTTCGTTCATATACGCCGGGTGCTGGGCAGCGACGCTATCGACGGCGCTCACCAACCTGCTGTCAGTGCCCCGACTGATCCAAGCGCTCGGTGTGGACCGCATCTACCCCGGACTTATCTTCTTCGCCAAACCTTACGGCAAGCACGGCGAGCCTTACCGCGGATACGTCCTTACATTCCTTGTCTCTCTTTTATTTCTTCTTATTGGTAAGCAATTATTTTAACACGTGGCATATATCTAATTTGTTTACACAAAATTTTTTAACTAAATCTCAGCAAATCATGTCAGATACAAGTTCAAAGTTACACTACTCCATGGCTCACTTGTAATTTTGTTAGGTGATCGATTTGATTTGAAGAAACTGACAAACTAATCAGATTTATATTATTGTTAACTAAATCTTTATTTTGTATAAAAGCATTTTCAATTAAAGGTAATAGTCTGTATTGAGTTATCGTTTTTAATATAAAATGTCTTGTTTCCATGTACTCAGCTAATTTGAATACAATTGCACCACTGATAACGAACTTCTACCTCGCGTCGTATGCTTTGATAAATTTCTGCACATTCCACGCCGCATTCATCAAGCCCATCAGTTGGAGACCATCGTTCAAGGTATGTAGTAAAACATAAACACAGTTATCTCTGTTTTATTAGCGGTAATGACAGGGATAGCGATATGTTTTATACCGAGATTTTAGTCTCAGAAACTATATGTTAAATGTTCTAGTACTACAACACGTGGCTGTCGTTCGTGGGTTTTGTGCTTTGCATCGCTATTATGGTGGTGGTCAGCTGGGTGACGGCACTGGCCACACTGTTCGTCTTCATAGCGCTCTATCTCCTGGTGCTCTACAGGAACCCCGGTATACCTTTCAGTCTTCAAGCCATCCATATAGCTGTACCTAACAATGCATTTATTTCTATCCATGTGTCGAGTGCCAACAAAATTAGTAAGATTATTTAAATGGTAATTTTCTATTTCTGAATCAATTCAAACTCGTTTTTTTGAAAGTATTACCATGACGGCTCAACGAATCGCGCTGAAATTTGGCATAGGTATAGACTATAGTCTGGAAGAACATACTTATTATTTTTTTTTTAGTTTCTAATATCTTCCTTTAAATGTTTCTGTTGTTACATACTAGAGGGCGTGGACTGGGGAAGTAGTACTGAAGCACACCGCTACATGGAACTTGTCTGGGCGTTGGTGCAGGCGAGCCGCCCGACGCACTCAACGCAATCTGGCCAGTCGGCGCAGGCTGCGCACTCTGCGCGCTCATACCGCCCGCAGCTGTTGCTGCTGGCGGGACGGCCGCCGGCGCGCGCGCAGCTGCTGCATCTCGCGCACCTCATCACTAAAGTCGGCTCTTTTGTGGTCGTAGCTGATATTACAGAGGTGGACTATTTTGTTTTCCAGTCTAAGTAACTTACTGTGTTTTATTTTCTTTAATTTTTAGTGATTTAAGGTTAATATATGGGTTGTCATGCGGTGTTAAAGGTTGGCAGTTATATAAAGGAATTTGCGAATGATGATTTGGTTTCTATCAATTAAAAAACCAAAACATGTGTTTACCAGAGAAAAGTTATTAACTACTACACTTTTCGTGGGTTTCCGAGGCCATAATCCCCGTTCAAAACATATTGTAATATCTTTTTTTTTTCAAAGATAATGTGAGGGGCGACGATGTTTCATACAGAGATTTTGGTCTTAGAAAGCCTTTAAACAATTCCTAGTGCAGAATTAAGACCGGTATTAAATAGAAAATCATACAAATATTTCAGTCACCGCTGTCATATACGGAGAAAACAAGCCGCAAACAGATCGGCGAGTCGTGGCTGCGTTCTCGTAAGATCCGTGGCTTCTATACGTTGCTGGATGGTTTCTCCTTCGAAAGTGGTGTGCGCGCGTTGATCCAGTCTGCGGGTCTCGGCAAGCTGGCCCCCAACATCATGCTTATTGGATACAAGAGTAACTGGATGAAGGATCAACCTGACAGTCTGAGAAGCTACGTACGAGTGATACAGTGAGTTTTTGTAAAGTTTTTTTTTTAAAAAATAAGTTATTATTTTAGGATTACATATGTACTTTTAGCTACACATTTTCGATGATGAAGAGAAAAATGTTTCATATTTCATGAAATATTACTAAAAGAATACTAAATTATGACAAATATAGCTTTTGCCCTCGACTCCGTCTCGGTGGGATTAAAAATAAAACTTAGTAATAAGCTATGTTCTACATCTGTAACAAATTTCATCGAAATTCGTTTTATAAATATATATATCGATGCAATTATAATATTAGTATGAGATATGTACATGAAAACATTTCAAAAACTTACGTGAAAAAATTCAAAAATGTACTTTCGGTTAAAATGAAAACATCTATATAAATATCGTTTAAGGTTGGCATTCGAGCACCATCTAGCATTGGCGGTGTACAGAGCTTCGAGCGAGGCGCTGCGCCGGCGAGCCAACAAGATAGTGCTGCGAGCACGCGAGGCCGCCGCCAGTCCGCTGGCACGTCCTCAAGCTGATATTATGAATGCTGACTCTAATTTAGATATATCCAATACTGAAGGAGAAAAAGGTTTTAATGATACTTTTTACATATAAGTTTGTTTACATATGAGATCCATGTTACCGTTCTGGAAATAACTTCTAACAAACATCTATCCATACAGCCAAACATTCGCATTTAAAATATTAATAAACCTAACTTGTGACTACGGTAGTATAGTATATAGATTTTATATTTGTATTTTTTATACAAGCATATCTTTTTTTTAGACGATAAGACGCAACTGACCAACTATGGTATGGAGGATATGACAAAGTCACTAATACTGAAGGAGTCCAACGTATCTCAGACACAATTGAAATCTCCATCTGCTGAAATCTCCCTTAACACGTATAACTTCGAACAACCTCTACTGTCAGACAATGTAAGTTTTTATACATAACAATTATATTAATTATTTCCACCTCCTCGCTATCAGTTCATTTTCCGATAGTCATATCGTTAAAATGGACTGATAGCGAAGAGCGACCAACATCTCAAGAAGCTCTCGCTAAACAGTTGGATTAAAAAAAATAATAATAACATTTAATCTTTCAATATCACAATACAATAAGCAAAAACAGCATAAAATATTTATAAAGAAATAACACATAAAACATAAATTAAGGGCCCGATACAAAAGGCAGTAATCCTAGGAACCGCACGTAACGTGAGAAGGTTCCTGTCTCTGCAGCCCTGACTACTGGTTGTGTGAGTCATTGGATTCCGCAGCCGTTGGTGTTCTATTTTTAATATAATATGTTTTGTTTTTTTTTTGTGGATATGAAATGTATTATGTTAAAAATATGATAAATAAATGAATAAGTATAATAAAATATCAATCATCCAATACTAGCTGTCGCCCGCGACACCATTCGTACGGAATTGAAACAAACTTAATAAGTAACCTATGTGTTCTTCCAGACTATGTTCTACATCTATGCTTAATTCCAGCGAGATCCATTGAGCCCTTCCGGAAAACTTTCAATTACTGAAAATTGCAATAAAGATGTGTTCATCAAACTTCAGGAGATGAATTTTACTTCCAATATTCAAATTTTTTAACAATGTAACCTTTCAAATTTAACATTTCAATAGTATTATATTTATTTTGTAATATTTTAAATTTGTAGGAAAATGACAGTTTGGACGCTTGGTGGTTGTACGATGATGGCGGACTGAACATTTTGCTGCCGTACATTATCGCGCGCCACAAGACAAAGATACCACTCAGAATATTCGCCTTGGCTAAGGCTGGGCTGCAAATAACAGACGCTGAGAATCGGTATATCAATAGTACCAGACACTTGACTTGGCACGTAGGATAAAAGATCACGCTTATTCCCTGCGTGCCAAGTTAAATGTCTGATTCAATTAATTTTATTTTGTTTACTAAGGGCCCTTGTATGCCTTGATGAAGTTTGCATAAGTTCATTTCCACTGGGTTAACTAGAAATGTGTCACTTAGTGAAAATTGGGTTTTTGTTTGTTTCCAGTATGAGAGATCTTTTGAATAAGTTCAGGATCGACTACTCCTCGTTGACGATGGTGCAAGGAATTAATAAAATACCAACGCAGCCCAGCATTGATTTCTTCGCAAGTCTCGTTCAGCCGGTGATGAGAAATGAAAGTAACGGTTAGTTATTATTTATTTTCTTATATATATTATAATATTCTCGTGTCACAATGTTACCATACTCCTCCAAAACGGCTTTATCGATTTTTATGAAATTTTATAACTACTATCTATTTTTTTATCCCGGACGGAGTCGCGGGAGACAGCTAGTCTTATATAATTTGTTTTTTGTACGTCGTTTGCCCGCTCTATTCAGCGTTAAAATAAGCTATCTACCTGATTTTCACGTCAGAAAAAATTAACATATGAAAGTTATAAAAAAGAAATGAAAAAATTGAATCTCCTCAAATAGGTTCATTAGTTTCAAGTGATTGGCGTATAAAGAAATCAATTAACGAATGTAAAAAAAAAAAGATAATGTTTAACTTTTTGCACAGAATGTTTTATCACGGAAGCGGAACTGGACGTCCATAGAGCAAAGACATACAGACAACTCCGACTGCGCGAATTACTTCTGGAAAATTCCATCGACGCATCGCTTGTTGTAATCACCTTGCCTATGCCCAGAAAGGTATTTTAATATATTTTTTTTATTTTTATTACTGAGTTTTATTCGTCAAATCGCTCCAGTTCCTGTGCGGCACGCATTTACGTACACGCACTTTTAGACCTTTATTCCACTAACGTGATCGCGCGACTAATCCTATGAGCAATGTATGTAACATTCATTTATGCGACCGAATTTTTATGTCTCAGGTGGTCGCCTTAGATGAAGTGTCGTACAAATTTTAATTTATATGCATAATAATGAGATTTGTTTACTTGTCGGTCAGGGCGCGGTGTCTCCCGCACTATACATGGCATGGCTGGAAGTGCTGAGTCGCGACTTACCTCCTGTGCTGTTCGTACGAGGAAATGATTCTTCAGTACTAAGTGCTTGATGGCATTTAATTATACTTTAGTTTAGATGTTTTTAACTACAAACTATATACGTCACATAGCAGTGAGTTTCCACTGTCGTCACACTTGTTTGAAGATAATTCGTTATATCTTTTGTATCAAAGACAATGAGGATAAAAAGATGTTTTTGAACAGTGTTACATCAGTGGAAACTAACGCTAAGACATTATTTAATTAGAAGAAAAGGTGTTCATTTATTTATGTTGAAAAAAAATGGAATTTGTAGTTAAAAATCTATTTCAAATTTTTTTTTTTGTATAAACGTAAGATGATAAATAGGATATAAAAATTAATCAAAATAAATTCCAGCTTGATACCTTAATGCGTTTTTGAGAAAAAGTGTCTTGACAGACGGATGGACAACAAGGTGATCCTATAAGGGTTCCGTTTTTACCTATGATTTACGGAATCCTAAAAATTGCAATAAAACAAATGTTAGCTCTAAAATTTTATTAATACACCTCAATAGAGTTTCTAGAAATTACAATTTCAGGAACTATTTAAAATTAAATAAATTTCGTTTTGTTTTTAGCAACATTTTGTTGATGAACAAAAGGATGTTTAACCGTGAGGTTCCACTGCTCAAAAATATTGTCAGTTTTTAAATAGAATGTCATGTTTTTTGTACACGTCTTCGTAGTGGAGACGCACGGTTACTTTTTACTGAACATGGCCAACAATTTGAATAACATTGTTTTTTTTTCGTTCCTTTACTCAGAAATAATATTGAGAAATTGGTAACACCAAAATTCTAAATATTAGAAATTTTTTATCTAGACACCTAAATTTATATTTTTTATATTAACTAGACACATTAAGACAAACATTTAGACTAAAAACGTGCATATATATTATAATAGTATATAGTAAGTATTAAAATGAATATAAGAATTCATTATTTATTAAAGATTAAATTTTTCAATAATTACTTGGTGTTTTACGCAAATACAATATTTCTTAACCTTTCTGAATTTACCATCAAATAAAAATAATATCTTTATATATATAATTCTTCTGTGAGTGTGTATGTCACTGAACTTCTCTCAAACGACTGGACCGATTTTGATGAAATTTTTTATGTGTGTTCAAGGGGATCTGGGAATGGTTTAGATTCACAATTTTCATCAAATATTAACTTCATATTAATTTATTCAAATTAAAGACGTGTAGACATGACAACGTCTGTCGGGTCCGCTAGTATATATATAATATTTTGTGTGTGTAGTAAAATACGTATTTAAAAAACTTTAAGAAAATGAATGAATATTGAAAAATGTAATTATATAAAAATATTTAAATAAAAATACACACGACATAATACATAAAAAATATTTACATAAAAATTATAAAAGTATTAAAAGTTTAAATATGTACAATAAATAATAAAATATAAAATTTATAATTAAAAATCACTGCAGTACTCAGAATCTGTCAAAGGGTCCCTCAGTGTAAATTTACTAAGTCTACACTAAGGGAAAAATACAGTAATCCTGGGTTTCCGAGTCCAAATTCTAAATTAAAACACATTGATATCTGTGTTGTCAAAGATGACAATGATGACGATGTCTTTTATATAAAGATTTTGGACGCAGAAACACAAAGTAAGAGATTAAATTTAAAAGGAGTTTTATGCAGATTATACGTATGTATTTTTTTATGTCTACTAATACAATGGAAGGTTACACATGAAACATGTTTGAAAATGAAAATTCATTGATAAAACATTTTATCAAGCAGTCGCATAATTATTCTATTTTTTCCGTTCATCAAGTTAAAATACCAATAATAAATATTTTGCAGTATAAACTAAATAAAATAGACCACAATTATTAACTTGTATAAATGCTTTAAATATCGCTTAAATACTAATTATGAACGCAATTTTAACATCAGACCATCAAATATTAAAATTCGATTTTTCGTTCCTACTCAGAAATATTAATCACGTAATTAAAATTACTAAATTGCGCATTAGTCTTAAGCTAAATCTAACATCAAAAGCCAAAACACTTCATACTAGAAAGCGGCAAAACTTAAGTTGAATCTTAACCGTCTCAACTAATTAAAACAATATTGCTATCCCTCTCATTCCCTTTGAAAAGGCAAGGATAGCAATAGCGTTCCTGTTTAGACATTTGAAATTCAGTTACAAAATATCTACAGGAAGACGAGGCAATTTAAAGCGAAAACTACGCCGGTGACGTCACACGCAAGAAACATAGGTCGCGTCCATACCGCAGGCATCACAACACAAGAAGTATAGTTCCATTCAAACTTTACGTTAGCTCGCAAATTCGCATGAAACGCTCACAACACAATTGTTCATCTAAAATTGCTGTGTCGTGCAGAATACGATTTATTTATCTAACATTGTGTTCTGCGCGAAACGGTAGAATCGGGACTTAGGATTTGGGGGTAGGGATGAAAACAATTGTATATTTCATACATATTTGAATGGATTCATTTGATACTCAGTGGTGGATACGACCTAAGAAAATGTTCTTAACCAATTCATAAGTTTGCTCTAAATTGAGCCACTGGCGATACTAAATGTTTCGACAGTGGAATCCTACTGTGGGACACGTGTTAATCTGTCTAAAACTTAGCAACAAAAAGCTTTTTAGATGTAAAAATCCGCTATAAACGGCAGTAGCGTATAAAGTCGGGGTCACACTCACACAAAAGCAGCGAAACTAGGGATGGCCGACGATTTATCTATTTTAAAAGCTACAATTGTTATTTATATTTCGTTGCATAAAATAATTAATCACTAATTTTAGCGATAGAAAATTAGCAAAAATCTATCGATAACATTGACTAAAATTATTTATTGAAGTTCGTTAAATGCTGCATCGCTCATCCCTAGCGCGAATGTATAGCAATATACTTGGTGATAAAACTCTACGTAGTATTAAGGTGCTCGATATAAGAGGTAAAAAGGAGACTAAAACAAAGCGAATAAACAACTAATCAAACGGAAAAGTGCATTATGATATAAAAATACGTGCTCGCGTTATTTTTTTTTTCAGTTTTCTTGTATTCTAATATATTTTTAATATTTTACAGGGTGTTTGAGTTTTTCGAGTTGTGGAACACTCTCATATCGACGCATCGTTGATATTTGAGTGCTCCGCCGCTCGAGACGTCCGTATCCATTAAGGTGGACGCCTTCAAAACTATATTTTAATCAACAATTATCAGCTGACATGAATTACGCACTTTCAGCAAAGAAAAAATATGTCAAAACACTACAAACATTTTTTTCGACTTGCGACTAGTGAAATCAACTCTACTTGACCATTTATCGAATAGTTGTTCTATTAATCTTGTTAAGACAACTCGCTCAAGATGCACTATGTTTTAGTATCACACCTCTATGTCGCAGATACCTCGATACTGTAGACAGGACACTGCCATTCCATCTTTATGGCGGCTCTAAAGTTCTCACGAGTGCGCAAAGCACAACTGTTAAGTATCGTTTTACCAGCCGCAGTGGCTACAGACATGCGCAGCTAACGCCGAGCCGCCATAAAGTTTGAATCTAATTATACAATGCTTTCGTTACACCATATAACCAGTATATGGTTTAGAAAGCCTAACATTTCAAAAATATCAATTACAATTATGATTTTTTTGTCTAACTACTATATTATCTGTTCATTTTAGCATAATATTATATTAAAAAATGGCGATTTAATACTTTTTTCAATACAGTTATCCCTGTAAATATTTTTTTTCGCTACTTCTTCAAGTTATGTTTTAATTGTATTAATATATATAAACTCACGTTAACATGAACAGATAATACATTCGAACAAATAATAACATTTTTTAAATTTGTTTTAGATTAATCTTAACATCGAATAACACACAATACGGCTTCGGACGTATAAACCAATGCATTAACACGTTCAATGCCAGATGCAGTGCAGGTGGCAGTGAATGTGTTAACATGGTTTGAGGTGGGGCCGGTTCGGTAGGGTGGAAGTGTGTCGCGAGGCCGTGTGAGAGTGCGGTCTGTGCGGTCACTGCGGCTGCGGCTGCGGTCACTGCGGCTGCGGTTGCGGTTGCGGTGAGTGCGGCTGCGGCTGCGGCTGCGGTGACTGCGGCGATGGTAATGGTACCTAGAGTTGAGATACTGCGTGCGGCTGACATACAACGCTCGCGCCCCGGCTACTCCTCGCAGCCAGCGTCCTCACTGATTATTTCGCCCGCTCTATCCTGCGAAATGTTTTGACCTGCCACCACAACAACAACCTTTAGTTATTAGGAGGCGAGTGACGAGGGCAGAGCTGAAAAACGCCTATTCGCGCGCCCTCTTCCGTTTTTTGGCCCGCATGGACCTTAGGGTCGGTAGAGTCATGGGTGGTAGGCTATTATTACTTTAGTTTTCGGAAAAAAAACTGCAAAAGCAGTACCAGAAAAAGCCTAGAGAGTATAAAATGTATGGAAAGTAAAGGATGGAAGAGAAGAGTATCATAAAGAAAATAAAAATGGAAAATAAAAAAGTATATATTGAATATTTTTGACACTTTCTATGTCACTGTGCCTGTCGAGTGTTCTTTAGTACAAAAATATTAAATATGTTGAATCAGTGTGAAGTTGTATATATGTATGTATGTATGTATGGTACGTACCCTTTTTCGCTGATGAAAGTATGCATTTCTTGCAGCTTATGAAGAAAAAGGAGACACGTTAGAGTTAGGCGTAGCGGGCAGCAGGTCCATGGTGCGGCACACCCAGCCCGCTATGTCCGCCTTCTCCCCCTCCGCCTGACGGATCCACTCGTGGTTCTGTCATAGCACACCACATATTAAGTGACTCCGTCCACGCGAAATTAAAAAAAAACCTAATTAGTAGCCTATATGTCCTTCCAGAGTATGTTCTACATCTATATGAAATTTCATCAAGATCCACGCATTCGTTCTGGAGATAAATAAGATCATATACCATCAAAGTCTTGAGATCAGCTCGCTCGTCAGGATTCTTTTTGAGGCAGCGGTCTACGAAGTCTTTGAATTCATCAGAGAATATCCCGGCGGGCAACTTCGGCGGTGGCTCGTTCACTATATAATCCAGAAGTTCAAATATAGCCATCGGACGTGGAGAATTTGGAGCCTGAAAAATAAATACATTGCAGTAATAGTATTGTTATAATTTGGGAACTTTTTGGCCCCAACAAATATGAGATAAAAAATAAACGCCACTCACCAAACAACTTAACTAAGCCTTCGAAAAATATATTTTCATTACATCAAGGTAAATAAGTATGTTTTTTTTTTTAATAAAATTAACTTAAAAGTAATATATACGTAATTAAACCTGTAAATATCACTTGAGAACGACGTGCGTAGATGTATGAATGTAGAAGAAACGAGGTGTTTCAGAACTCCTACAAATGGAGAGCTGTGGTCTCTTATACTGTTAAAAGTAAAACCAACCTGTCCCGGAGAATGATCTTCATTCTGTCCTCCGAATATTGTAGCCAATGTTTTAGCGTCAGGCGGTGGTATGGGGTACATTCCGATTGCCATTTCTACCAATGACAGACCAAGCGACCAGATGTCTGATTGTACAGAATAGTGAGTTCCTTGTAAACGTTCCGGCTGTCAACAAGCAAACAAAATTTCAATGAATTCGAGCAATAATATTTAAATGAGATCCAGGTGCTTTTTCAGGTGTGTTTTTGGAATGTCAGGCCTAAATATTTTAGTGAACTTCGTTCACTAACACGCCAACCATGGGTTTCTAAGATCAAAATCCACGAAATTTAAGATATTGTTATCTCTGTTTGTTAAAGGTAATGACAGGGACGAAGATATGTTTTATACAGGGATTTTTTTATTTTATTTATAATGCATTTGGTCTCAGAAACATATAGTTAACTGCTGCACCTAATCATTAAGGTATTAGCGGTAAAATGACAGTGAAATGACATTCAGTGTTGTATATGACAAAGATATGACATTAAATCCACTCCATGTTCTTAATTATTCACAATTAAACAAATGTTTCATTTGGAAATGTTAATTCTTACACATATTTTAATTATCTTTTTAAATACATTAAAGTTACAAATAATCTCTTTGTCTGACACCGCAATGTTATATGTTAATTACAATGATTAAACCAGCAATTTAAATGTCATTGGTTTGTACAAAACCATCTTTGCAACAAAATGTAAATGAAATATTATTTGGAACTAATTTGATGTATAAAACTTTGAATTACACAAATATTAACTAAAATTTCAATATTTAGTTTCTTATTAACAACAAAGTTTATATAAATTTTGAATAAATTAAAACATTTTTAGTTTGCACATAAATGAAGAAAGTTGTTCTCTGATTTCACACCCGTTTTACAAAATAAAATATTTAAGTAGTATTTAACTCTAACAATCAATCAATTACAAGCTCCAATGGCCTAATGGTAAAGATTTCTGATACCGCCATTCAACTATGGTAGTAAACCATGTCCTAGCACAAGCCTAGAGCTTAGTTGGAATGACATAAGAAATATTAGTAAATTAAGAAAAATCTGCTAATATTTCAATAAACAAAAAAAAATATTTTCTATTACAATAATAGCATACTCACAGACATGTAGCTTCTTGTACCCACAAAGGAATTGGCCATTGAATCAATGAGCTGACCGGAGACACCAAAGTCACAGATCTTGATCTCACCGTTGCTGTTGACGAGGATGTTTGAAGGCTTCACATCGCGGTGCATTATAGCGTGCTTGTCACGTAGGTAACTTAACCCTTTCAGCACCGCAGATGTTATTGTTCCTGTCAAAATTGTATATCATCAAGCAAAAATCAACCAAATTCTTAACAAAATGAAAATAATATTATTTTAGATATGCGAAGGACTTAGGGAATATAAAAATAATTTACTTTCTATATCAATATAGAGGATAATATAAACAAATGCCACTTCATATTATGTGGTTGAGTCAAACTAAACATAGGTAACTAAGGAAACAAGTTTGGGATTATGATTTAATTTATCTTTATAAACCTACTAGTTGTCGCTTGCGACTCTGTCCGTGCGAAGTAAAAAAGAAACTTAATAAGTCTATGTGTTGTTTCAAACTATGTTTTATATGTATGCCAAATTTCAGTGTGATCTGTTGAGCGGTTCCAGAGACACCTTTAAACAAACATCCATCCATCTAAACATTCGCATTTATAATATAAGTAAGATTATGAATAGTATAAATACCTAAAATAGATTCAGGAATCCTTCCCGCCTTCTTCAAAATAAGATCCAATGAACCACCATCCATATACTCCATGCAGATAGATATTTCTCCATCACTATAAAAAGCACCATAGAATCCCACAATGTGAGCAAAGTTACATTCATGCAGCACCTTCAGCTCACGGATTATTTGCTTCTTAATCGCCGGTTTCACTTCTAAATGGATCAACTTGCGAGCCATTATCAGGCCTGTAGATTTGTGGCGAACTTTCATAACTACCCCACCATTACCTTGTCCTAATATAAAAAAATATATATTATACATACTGGAAATTTCAATTGCCTAAAACACATAACATAAGATGACTGATCATTTGATTTCTAGTAATTTTTGATTACCTAGTTCCCCTAGTTTCTCGAAATCATCATCGCTAAGTTCACCAATCTTTTCCTTCTGACAGAGGAACACTTCAATGCGTCGCCTCTGTGTGTCATCCATCTCAATCTGCTCCAGTCTTTCAGTCAGGGCTTCTATACTTGTCTTTGATTTCCCAGCTAAACCCTGCCGCCTAAAATAAATGTTTTACTTTGAAATATTACCTTGATTGAACATCCTACCATACCAACCTTCTAGTAAAAATAAAATCTATTCCATTATTTAAAAATAAATATTTTTAAACAAAAATTGTGTTAATTTCTTAATAATTAAAGAAGTTATTTAATACCAATATCTTTATGACTTATCACAAAATCTCTACTGAAAAGGATTCGATTGTTCATACAATTATGTAACTAAGAATAGAACACTTAAATTTCTTATTTTTCAACATAAAAATTTATTAAATAAATTGTAATATAACCAGCATATTCCAATGATTCCATAATCAATATTCTGATGTTGAAAATCACACAATTTTTTTTTAAATTAAGTGCCGATTTAATTAGGTAATAATTGCTTCCTCTAGTATTCCAAAAGTTGTTGGAGCTTTTCCAAGATAATACTTAATGATTATACACTTTTAAATAATTCTCAAACTATTAGCAAGAGAACATTATGTGTAATATACAAAATTCAAAAATTATATGTATAACCATTTTTATACTGTGTTAAAAAGATCGTTATGCCTTTATCTTTCTATACGAGGCGATAAGAGTTCGTTTTGCTACAATTTTGGAAAAGTACTTTTAACATTATACAATTTATACTTACTCAGTAGCAGTGGCAGATTTCAGCTGCGGGGTCATATTAGACGGTGTAATTGCCGGAGCAGTGTCAATAGACCCTGGTGGGAGGGTCAAATTTAATTTATTCTTCGACATCTTACTCATCCTGGACACACATTTGTCATCGTAATAAAATGAAGGTGAATCCTTTGCGCCTGTTGCGCAAAGTAATTACGAAATCACATTAATAAAAGTCAAATGTATTCAGGAGGTAATCGTTATAAAATTTATTGTAAAATCAACAAATTAATTCGAAAAAGATTGTAATACTGATTTTTTATAGCATATCCTCTAATTTACGGAGATTGCCCTTTTCTTTTGATTTTGACAACGGCAAGACAACGATGCGTTTGACAATGACGTAAAAAGCCATCGATTCTTTTTAATCGATAACTTAGATTGAAACGAGTATTTTAATTTTCTTGTCTATGATTAGTCTATGGTGATATTGTAAATAAGCCTGAGCCAGAATCAGAACAGCAGAAATCTTATGCAGAAAATTCATGACGACTATTTCAACTTTTACAGTTTATAATTAATTTCAGTTAATAAAAAAAACGGTGATCAGTCAACATTTAGTACACAAGCTGTTTTTTCTTTTCTCCAAACTAGAAATTTTAAAGTAGTCACAGAAGCTAACCTAAAAATAAAAATTATCACACTTTAAAATAAAATCAAGTTTATTTTTCAACGTACAGTTAAACAATTGTTAGATGTTTATATAATAATTTACCGTTGAGCTTTTTATAGCGATATATAAATAACTGTGTAAAAACTTAGAATAAGTAATCATTGTATTTATTATAAAAATCATAATACTTTTTATGGAGATTTTAATTTAGTTAAAAATGTATTAATTCCTGGCTGTGTCTGTTTCAATTCTTGGACTGGCTTTTTTGCTTCTGGCTTAACTCTTTTGACGTTTTTATTTTCTTGTTTAGGCTTTTTCTTTTTTTCTGCATTTGGTTGTGTTTGTTCCACATCCGATGTGCTTTTTTTCTTTTTTATCTTTTTCTTATCATTTTCCTCAGGTTCATGTGATGGCCGTAGCAATGTAGTTGGATCATTCATAATCATTGATAGCTTTTTAAAGTAACTCCACAACGCGTCAACACATTTTTCTGGTTTTTCTCCTTCAACAGTCTCCCATAATAATCCATACATCCTTGGTTTTAACTTTTCCGTAGGCTTTTTAAGTTCACTTTCAAACTCATCTTCTAGATGTTTCAGTCTCGCTTTTTGCGTTTCAGGCGAAAGAGATAGGACATCGTCTTCATCTACTGTGGCTTCCTAAAATATAAATAAAGAATTGGTGGAAATAGATTAATAACTAAAAAATATTAATTTTATTATTAGTTTTTATTGAAAACATGAAATTGCGCAAATGGATGAATTTGTCGCCTTTAAAGCTAATATAGAGACAAAGTGCATAATTAAAAAAACAGGTTAGTTTTAAATTAAAAAGAATACTTGAAGTCGAATTTCAACCAATAGGCGACCACCAGTAATGATAATTACCTCGTCACTTAAGTATCCATGCGGGACGAAGACCTCGTTATCGACTTCGTATTCGTCGGCATCAGGCTCGTCATCGCTGCCAGCCGCACTGCCGTCGATACTCTCCCCCTCCTGCTCCTCCTCCCACTCCTCATCGCTGTCTACCTCATAGTCTACATGCTTCTGCAAACAATCATGTTGTTACAAGGTGCCCATCAATTAATTTGGAATATAATAATAATTTGAAAAGTCTTAGGACATAGACTAAGTTCAGTTTTACATAACATTCTCTGTTTTATATTGCTTGTAATATAGAGCTGTAGAAGGAATAAATGAAGGTTTTAAATACTCTATATATTTGCAAGTGTAAGCATCTATGCCAGTTACTTAATTGCAATAAAATTCATGCCATATTCTATTACTTTTTTATTTAAATAAAAATACCTGATCCTGTTGAAAAGGTCTTCTAGGTGTAACAAATGTGCTCCGTTTTCTCCAAGTGCCCCAGTATGGTGGACGTCTGTTTTCATGGAAACTTAATAGTTTTGGCCGAAGTCTCTCACGGGCAGATGTTTCACAAGATAATATTTCATTCGCATCATCTATGGGTGGTAAATCATCCTCTGAAAGATTTTTTTTTTTAATGAAAAACAAAATGAAACTTTTATTTAAAAGATAGATATAAACAATAGCAAAAAATATCATATTTTTGGAATTGCATAGCCAATATCAAAAACAAAAGTGAATGTGTTGCATACTATTCATCATCATCATCAGCTCACTATACGTCCCCACCGAGGGGCTTGGAGCCTACCCTAAGTTAAGGGTGATTAGGCCATAGTCAACCACGCTGGCCAAGTCCGGGTTGGTTGACTTCACTCATATCTTTGAATTTCTTCTCAGATATGTGTAGGTTGCATCACAATGTTTTCCTTCACCGTAAGAACGTCGGATAAATGTACATATATAAATCGGAAATCGAAAAACACATTGGTACATGGCGAGATTCGAACCCAGGACCTGCAGATTGCAAGTCAAGTGCTTGACCACTGAGCCACCAACGCTCATATGCATACCATTACTCCTATGAAAGTAAACTGGTTAAGCGAGTTGGTGGAACGGTCAGTATTAAAAGTAGCTAAAAAAGTAGTAAATTCATTACTAACCCACAATCATAACATCATCATCATTTTCTTTATCACTCAACGGCCATGTTTTTCCACTAGACATAGGTTTGTTTAAACCTTCTTTTAAACTCTTTACATACAATTTATTACTTGGTACATTTTGTCCTTCAAGAAATTTATCTAGATTCTCTTTTTGTTCATCGCTTATGTAATTCCTGGTAGTAGGCGCCAGCCTCATATCCGCTTTAATTGTGAAACTGGATAGTACACTGTTTATACTAACAGGACCAATTGTGTGCTGGTCTTTCTCAGTTTTCTGTTTCTGAACAAAGAAATTTGCGAAAGCCTCAGCTGCTTTCTTTTTCTTTTGTTCTTGTTCTTGTCTTTCTATCTCTAAAGCCTCTTGTTTCTTTTTCTTTTCCTCTTCCCTTGCTTCTTTTTCCCTTCTACGCATTTCTTCTTTTTCTTCTCTCTCTTTTTTCTTTAATTTTTCTCTCTCTTCTCTTAATTCTGTAACAGTAAATTGTATTTAAAGTCTTATAACAAAATAAAAAATTAAACATCAACAATAACAAAATAAATTATGAATGGTATCACATACGTTTTTCTAAATCTTTTTGACGTTCTTTCTCTTCTTTTTCTTTTCGTCTTAGTTCTTCCTTCTCTTCTTTCTCTTTGCGCTTTTGTTCTTCTTTCTCCTCCTTCTCTTTTCGTTTCATCTCTTCTTTTTCTTCCCTCTCTTTCCTTTTTTGCTCCTCCTTTTCTTGCTTCTGTTTAGCCCTTTCTTCTTTTTCCTGTTGTCTTTTCATCTCCCGATCTTGTTTCTCTTTTTCTTTCTTTTTTGCTGAGTCCAACTTCTTCTGGACTTGCTGTAAAGATTGATTAATTATATTAGAAATAATAGTACATTTCTTCATATCCATTTCAAATAATAGAAAGATTTGCAGTATGGAAACTTGGTATGCCAACCCCACATGGTCTGAGGTATCATGAAGGTGAAAGTAAAGAAAAATTTGATAATATAATGATTATTAACTTTCAATTGTCATAGATTATAAAATAAATTTACCTGTTTTGGTGTTAATATGGCCGAATTATTAGGAGTGCGTTCTGTACTGCTTGATATTGAATTCCGAGTTTGTCTAGGTGTTTGAGGTGTTGCATTTGATTGTGCAGATACATCACACACACTTGTTTGTGATGTGTCTAATTTACTTTCAATTCTTGATCTATTCCGTGTGCTCCGTTTGGGAGTAACTATATTAGATTCTTCATCTATGTTTTTAGATTCATTACAATCACCATCTTCTATTTTTTCATCTTTATCAGTCTTATGACAATCTACTATATCCTTAACCTCATTATTTTCTATGTTGCATTTTTCGTTTACCACATTAATGTCATTATTTTTGGATGAAACATCCGTAGACTCACCATCAGAAGGAATTTCAATATTATTATCACTATTATCAATTTCCATACATGCAGATCCATTTAATTGTTCTAAATCCTCTGAAGTTTTCGTTTCAACTGGATTTGTACCATTTTTCGAGTCCTTGCCATTTTTTTTCTTCTTCAATGTTTTCGACATTTGTTTTTTCTTCCGAGCACTATCAACCAATTTAACATATGGATTAAGTGTTTTGTCTTCTGTAAGTATCTTAGTCTCATCTTTACAGTCCTCATCACTAATAACTACCAAATCATCGATCTTGTCGTTTTCTTTTGTTACTTTACCCAATTTTGTGACAGGCTCACTTTCAGGGGCAGATAATTTTCTCTTTCTGGTTTGGGTAGTTTCTGTTGCAGGCGAGACGTCGCTTAACAACATAAATGGAAGCCTGGCCTGTTTTAGTTTTTTCTTTGTAGGTGTTACGTCTGCTTCATGAGACTTAGGAGTTTTCATTTTATATATTGCAGATAATAACTAAATTACTACTTTAGTTAAAATTTAAATAACCAACAATAAAGCTCTATTCTGTTATAACAAATAATCACATTTCAAGGCACAATACAATAAAAGCTTACAAAATTATCCACAGTCCTATAATAATGCAAAACACTTTGACAGGCGACTTTATAAAACGCGGGAGTTTGGTGTTGGTGAACATTACCGTTCCATTATTGGTCAAACTTATAACCTTTAATTGTTAGTAACGTAATTTTGCCAAGGGTAATTAATTTAAAAGTATTAGAAAATACACAAGAAAAGTACGACAATTAATCTCTACTTTTCATGGTAAAACTTTTTAATACAAATTCAAATCTCTATGGAAAAGTAGAAAAAGAAATCAGAATAGAAACGGAACGCATGTAATGACAAATCTGACGTCATAACATGACGTTTTAGTGATGTTACATCAAATAATATACCACCATAAAAATCGATTGGTCATTCGTCCATAAACGTTTGTAAAAAAGATTTTTTTAAATCGTTACGTTTGTATTTATCATTTGATATTTCACTATTGCTTTTTGCCAAAACGAGTCCTACTAGTAAACTATGCATCTGTCATCGTGATTGTTTTATTGGACTAGTTCTTTCATTCCAGTGATTATAAAATCACTTTTATATTTTATGCTTTTATTTACATTTTATATAAACTCTAAGCTACTTTAATGAATGCTTGAATCTACAATTTGTAGGCATCTTTACTGGTCCCTGAAAGGGAGGCTTGCCTTTTACCCACACCACCCACACAATAAAAAAAGATAGGAAAAGGATAGGGAGGCACTCCATTAGTTGATAGATAGTAGATATCTTGGTTCTTAACGATTGTTACATTTTAAGTGACGTATTTCTTAATAAATAAAAGGGAATGCGGAAAACTATTTTATTTAGAAGAAGTTCAAGATGGATCACATTTGAAGTACAGGCGGGATATCACATTTAACATCGAACTAACTACAGTATGTTCATAGCTCTTAATTATTTACAATAACATTTATTACAAATTCTCTCGCTTATTAATGAATTATATGGAAATTTGTTGAAAACGAAATACAAGGTGGTTACCACAATTACATTTGCATAAAAAGTCTTAAATAAAAGTAGCTAAAACATTGTAGATAAGATTTCGTTTTCAGATTATACCTTTTCGTATTTATTTATATTACGGACTAAATTTTGGACGATGTACACATTTTTTCCTTATTAAAAATATTAGAGACTTAAATGAAAAAAATTATAACACCTTCTTAAAAAAAAAAACAATAAAATACAGTTAACTCTTGCCAGCCTATAGATTATCTTTACTTAATCGTGAATTAATTTCAATGAAAGTATGTATAGATACATCAGGGCAGTATTTTTTGTATGTAAATATCATATAAAATTAATTAGTCGAAATACTTAGAAATGTTGTATAAATTACACAGATATTACTATAAATACATTGAACGATATTTATAGATCGTGGTTGTAACTACGTAAAGCATTGTAAATCAGACATATTGAAGATATGTTGCACGTTTTCATTGAAGATAGGTCTTTATAAAGTTGTGAAAAAATCATTACGAAAACACAATACATCTCGCAGTTCGAGTTTACTGGAGTATATTATCTGTGCGCAGAAGACCATAAACAAGTAAGAATTTTTTTTTTGTGTATTGATGTTTCGAAACGAGATTCCATCTCTTTATAGATGTTTATCGATTTCTGCGTTCAAGTTACTAAGACCACTCAAATTAGCTCGTCTTTGATTATTTTCAATAAGTTTATCAAAATAAAAGTAGAAGTAGAAATAGAAAATTTTTCTTTAAAAGTTGCATTTTGTGCGGTCAAAAAAATAAATGTGAAACTTATCACTACTAACATTAAATAGTAATTTGTATATTTATTATTACATTACATATAGGATATATATAGTTATTTACTATAAGCGTTTTCACACCGATTACAATTACGACAGATTTTAAAATAGAATGATTTGGAAGAGCATTATTATGTATGTACATGTATTGTAAATCGAAACATGAAAATACGATTAGACAATTAATCTAAATAATAAAATAAGGTATATATAAATTATATATTCCGATAATCTAAGAAACATAAAATCTACGCTATAAAGTGATTTGTTCAAGAAATTTTAGCTGTTGATAAATTGTCTACGTTATGACCGGGCGAGCCGGCTGACGAGGCGGGGTAGGTCGGTCAATCAAGCCCGAGTCTAGCGCATGCGTTATCCGCACCACCAGCAGTTGTCGATTTGGTCTATTCAAAGGGACATTAATAAAGTAAGCCATGCGTGATTGGTACTAATATTCTGCATTTGTTCGCGATAATATAAACAGCGTAATTTTTATAGATATTGTCGCAATAGATTTAACTTTAGGATTTCGTAGAAATGAATAAAGTCTGGAGTTTACCTTTTTGTGTTACTTCATAGTTCAAATGTAAATTTATGGCGAGGTTTTATCTACGGTAGATTGGTTGAAAATACATTTGGTTTGATAGTAAACGACTGATGCTTTTCATACAGTTAAAGTTTTGTTCCCAATTCCTTTTTCCTGTTTCCGTACTAAAAACACTCTAAGCTCGAAACTACATTCACCAATCTGTTTAAATGATTTCATTTTCCCTGACCTTTAAATACGTTTGATTTCTTCCAGAACAGTAATTATTAAAAACAATTATCACAATACAAAAGGCCCTCACACAAAAAATATTAGAAAATAACTTTCGGTGACAGATTTTTATAATGAACTTTCTTCTGGTTCACAACCTTGATAAAAATTCAGCGACAATTGTATAAAGGGGCCTATTGTATTATGATGAAAACTTAAAAATACATCGCAAACGAAACTAATATATGTCGAAATTACTACGTATTATACAATGTAGTATCAACAATACTAACACATATAAAAAGATAGCATAGTTTGTTACGTTTAAAAGAGATCAGACTTGAAGTGGGGAAGTCGTAGGAGAGGGTAGACATAGAACCGAAGTTTGACGCGTGGTGGAATCAGCTTAGCGTTTGTTAAAAGGATTATTCCTAGCGGTGGTGCGCGCGGCAGCCGCGGCGGTCTGTGTGCAATGGCAGAGCGCATCAAACACGCGCACCACGAATACGCGCGCGCGTCCCAGTCGTCGCCTTATGTTACCTGGAAAGACATGAGTAAACTTATGTTAGAGACCATTAGGTGATGTAAATGTCACATCTAGAAATGGTCACTAAACAGAGTTTTTTTATTAATTACAGTAATTTTAGTTAAGCACATTTACTTATCCAAATTGTTGTCTTTCACGGAAAACTTATTTGTTAAATCCAAGAGGAATCTTGTTGAATATAATTATAGTAATTTATTAATAGCCTTATAAGAGTTTAAATAAACCTACATGAATAGACAAGAGACTCGCAATAGTCTACAAGCCATTGTTACTAAATTTACACACGTAGTAGTTTGTCGATTACAAGATGTCTGTAATAATTTACTTGTTAAATATTTTGTATTCAGACTAGCTTAAAAATATAATATTACAAGTGAATAAAATAACTTTAATCTCATAAATATATATTTTTATAATTTACGTCTCTTACCAACAAATATATAATTTAATAACAATTTATCTATGATAAAAAATATTTTGATCTTGGATTGATACGAAATATACATCTCGCACTTAAGACTCCTCTGGTTGTAGTTGTAGAGAGTTGCTACGTGTTTTATCACGGCGTCACACAAACTCAAGTTTAACTCTGACTGGAGTCTAGAAATAAAGCAACTGTGGGCTCTGTGATGTTGAAAATATACATATTTTGATAGACTTGAGAACTAAAATAGAGCGTGTTTATTAAAACTTTACGTAGTGCGCTTCCCAAAGGGTCTGCTTATCGATTTGCATAAAGTTTATACGTTAGGGTCGCGCCCTACACAGCCAGCTAATAAAAGGCTATGATACGTAACAAAAAGGTTGCGGGGAATTCTATCTTTATCTAACTTCACTGATTTTAAATAAAATATCTGTTATATTTCTCAGTCTGTCTATATGTCGGTGAATAACTTAAGAACATTTATTTCATAATTAAGGTAAATAAAGGTTGTTTAATAGTGCTATGTCATGATTTAAAAGGTGCAGATAATTAAAAGTGAAAAATTGTTCGAGTAAAATATTCCTGTGCCTTTTTGTTTTTTTTATGTAGCTTTTTATCAAGATTTATTTTAAGGTTAAATATTTATGTGAATAGCGATACACATAACTAAGATAACGTAAAGAAACCATTAGGCTAATGAAGGACAACTGTGACATTTAGCGTAACAAAAATGTTCTTAGTGTTTATTATTATTTTTATTTGTCCAAATAATTTAATAATTTACAGTACAGTTATTTTACAGAGATTTAATAATCACGGAGGACAAACTTATTGATTCGTTTATTGTATTATTTTTTTTAAATATACATTTCCCGATTCCCTAATTCAAGATTTCTCATTGGAAAAAATGTACACCGGGATTAGTAGCGTTTGAAGAAAGCGTTAAGAACAGAAGCATGATAACCTAAATGACGCTCATTTTACGTCATCGGTGGATCGTCTTTTATTAAATTGTCAGCAAAATCTTAACGGGGAGTTTCATTGACCAAACATTCGTTCTCTGTTATCTTTTTGAACCTGTGTTATTTTGTGTTTATTTTAGAATACGAGACGGAATATTTGACGGTACCCTAGACTATAGGTTAGATTATTCTAGGCCCTAGAATTTGTAATTCTGTTCTTGCGTCCCTAATTCAGGACGCATCCTAACTTTTTGTAGAATTAGTGTTTTGAAGGATTTTCATCAGGAACATGAGTAACTTTTTTAATTATGATTACTATCTATATGTTTGCGAAACACGAGAACACTTTGAGAATCCTTATTTTGAACACTTTTGTTTTTCAAATGCACCTTGTCTTTTTTTAAGTGTTACCATATGTCTGTGGGTGTATAACTGTGTTTCCACTGTCGTAAAACATGTTTATCTTTGTTTGCAAAATCACTTACCTACTCCTGAATCATGCCCTTCCTGTAACAATACAAAAATGATTGTGAAAAAATATCAAATAGCAAAAATCGAAATATATTAAACTTCAAATTAAAACTTGCTAGGAACTGTCTTATAAATTAATCTTTTTTTCAACTTAAAAATGTTACATTTTACAAGTAAAGTTAAAGAACCAATCAAATTATTATTCTCACACGATGCTTCTTGTATCGGAATAAATTTGCTAATTTTAATTTCATCAAAAAAAAAATCTAACCTAACGACTCATGCAAATAATATTTTACATTAAACAAACAATAGCTTTAATATTATTTATATTGTATATATAATAATATACAGTTACAACACACAGAAGACAGACGTGAAGTGGAAGCAATTCCGCGTTTCGTCTGATGAGTGTGCGTCCCGGAGGCCTAATTTAGTCCTCTTTCCCTTCCCATCCTTTTCTTTATAAGGATTCGGATGAGAGGATGCATGGAAATGGGAGGTATTTTGTTTCTGTGCATTCTCTCCTCCGTCGATTAAAGGTAGGCAACGCATATGCAATTGCGTATGTCTATGGGCAACGGTCACTTCGCTATTTCAGCAATTTCAGGTGGCCGCTCGCTCGTTTGCCACCTTTTGATATAAAAAAAAAGTTAAAACTAAATATAAACTCAACGCGTTCCATGCCACTATGATTTTTTTCTTACATTTTCCTAGGCGAGTTAGTTGCAGTAAACGTGTTAGATATTGTATAGAACAGATGCTATATGTCGGCTATCGATCAAGCAATTTGTGCCAGTTCCATAACACCGCCTACGGTTTTATCATGTTAATATATCGTGTACCGATTAACCCTTACAATCTTTTGAGCTTTTGATAGGCTTGTCAAAATTATCATAAATATTACCGTATTATAAAACAATGTAAACATAACCGTTATTTAAAAATAAATTAAAATCATTGCTTATCGAGAAAGCTTTGTATTCATATGAAGAATTTTTTGTGTGATTTTTTTTTGTAAATCGACATTAGTAATAAATTGTACTGTATTGAGTTTCTGCCGAAATATTTACAATAATGCAAAACGCCTCTTTACAAGAACTCCGTGATGTTTTTTTTAAATCACAACTTTATATACTTTTATTCCTTATACAATTTTGATTTGCTTATTTTCAGAAAAAACATTAATCATCGCAATAATTTAATTGTTTTACGACATTATCAATATTTTAGAATTTAACAACGTTACAATGTTTAAAATGCTCTCCTGTAAAGTTGTGGTATTAAAAATATCATGTCGTTTTTGTAAGGAGGCGAAATGAGATTTATTGTTATTTTCGTAGTATTAGATTTGCGAGAATTCGAGATATAAAATAATTGTGCTTAACAGTGCTTATACAACTTACTATAATCTTACTAATATTATAAACGCGAATTTTTGGATGAATGTTTGAGGGTATCTCTAGTACTGCTGCATGGATCTCGCTGAAATTTGGCATACATATAGAACATAGTCTGGAAGTACACATAGGCTACCAGTTAAGTATTTTTTTAATTCACACAGACGGAGGGTAAGCTTATGTTTAAATTAAAATTTATGTATTTATATTGGTGGCTATTTAACTAATACTTTTCGTTTTATATGATAGGTGAATTTATCTTGCATGAGAGACCGAATCGAATATAGTTAAGTTCTAAAAGCAAGCTTGTATGCATCTATTTAAAAGCATGAAAATGCATACAAAAGAAAATGCGTGTATCGATCAAATAAAAGTGTTTCTATTCGTGACAAGCGAGTCCTTGCGATCTAAAATTGTATCATTTGACATCAAACACTTACCGCCCTATCATTTCCGTACATTCGGTTTCCAAACTGGGAAAATATAGATACTTACAAATTTGTTTCTGTCTTTCTCTTTTTGTTTAAGTCCAGCTTCCTTCTCTGCTTGTTTTATAAGCAGCTCCACGAATTCCGTCGCTTGTTGCAATTTCTCTGGATCGCTTTTGAACGCCTCTATCCGCTCCGCCAACGCGGCCGCCTCACTGTCTTGTATCATTGTTAAATGTTCTATACACTTTTATGAAATCACTGAATTTATCCAAATTAACGTCACTTTTTGGAAATACAATAAATAATTCAAAAAATTTGATATCGTAAAAATTTTCAGTTGCTACGCCATTGTTGATTGGTAAGCAAGGAAATAGATTTAGATGTTTACGTATTTATTCTGGGCGTATTTTCAGTCATCAATGTGAAGTCAGTGATTAAGAGAGTAATTATTAGTAAGTACGCGCATCAAGGTTGATGGCGGGGGAGCAACTGAGGCGCTCGTCGTACCATCGCCCGGTCGGGGCTCGGTCATGCGCCGACGGATGCAAAATATTTTCTGCCTACGTTTGACAGATTAGCGATAATCACTACTGATGAGAGGTCTCCACTCAGTTAGAATAGGTTCATAGGCATAATTATGATGTGTACAGAAAGCTAATTACACACATAAACGCTTTTTTCCCCCGTCTACTTTTTGTTTGATTACAAACAAGATTATGAAGATACATTTTTACTTCGTTATTATCAGATTTGTTACAGATACGTTATTTAAATAATTTCGAATCCACGGCTGTTTCTAGAAAATTCCATAAACCAATCGCGACAATAAAAGAATTTTAACGCGCGTTTTACTAGAAGTAGGTACGCGAAATTCTGAAAACGAGCGTTATTAAAATGCGCGCTAAATACACTTTGTTTTCTGAGACCGAAACCTCCGTTTAAAATATACTGTTATCTCTGTTTTGTCAAAGATAATGACAGGGATGACGACATGTTTTATACAGAGATTTATGCGTCAGAAACCCACGGTAAGACAATAAATAAAACATGTAGTTAGTTATATTACGACTCTTTTGTTTCGCAAGACGTCACATTTGCGAAGGTGACATCGTAAATAATTTACGAGGCAGCAAAATATTATCCTTGTATAAATTTTACATCAGTCACCTTCAAACTGCATACGTAATAAATTGTGTTGTGATTGACCAAGGGTAACAAACAAGACTTAACACCTTGGTGACATATTTATCATACCCTTCGTTTCCGTATTTATGATAATGGGTTTCTATCGATTTTATAAATCGGAAAATATTTGTGGAAACTATTTTCTAAATTGTGACCACTGAAATATTAGATAAATAAGAACACGTTTATTTAACTTATACATGTTACATACAGCGTACCCACAAACCTTTATACATGGACAGGCTATAAGTCGTAGAATTTGTGCCTATTTGATTTTTGCCGTTAGCGCTGACGGTTGTGATTTCCAGCGGTAGTGAGGATTTCACTCGCAAATTTAATTACGTTTTTAATAAATGTTTATTTATTTTATTATGTGTCTTATCCACATCATAATATCATTAGCAATGGTAGTATTTAGATGCAAAATATTATCATCACACAAGTAAACAAATACGAGATAATTATTTCACAAACAAGAGCTAACTAAATATTGTTCTTTTAAGATGCAACCATGTGACCCTGCAAAGCAGCATGTTGCTCTTATCACCATATTCAGAGTACACGTATTATTATTATTTTTTGAATTTGTAGGTTAGAATATTTCCTTAATGTTGTGAATTGCTTCGATAGCTCTTTGTATATCATATTATCTTACTCCTTACTAATATTATAAATGCGAATGTTTGGATGGATGTTTGTTAGAAGGTATCTCCGGAACTGCTGAACGGATCTTAGTTAAATATGGAAACTATATTTTTTCTGACATTTATATTTGACAGATAAAAAAAGAAAACGTCAAGTTCTGACACTAGCCTCAGTTCTGCCGCAACATTGTAATATGGTAATATTCAGAAAATAAAAAAAACACCAATAAAAATGCAAAAGATTTATAATATGATTCTTTTTGAATCATTTTTTATGCTTACGATGACTAGGAGAGCGATCCCTATCTCTCTTTTTCTTTTTACCCTTTCTTTTTTTGTCAATATCCTTTTTTTCTTTACGAGAACTACTTTTATGTCTTTTATAATCTTCCGAATCACTACTACTGTGGTGTTCATTTTTCTTTTTTCTTCTATCAGAGTCAGAGCTAAGCGATTCATTGCTACTATATCTTTTCCTTTCTATTTTTTTCTGTCTCATATCGTCTTCGCTGTTTGATGAATCATATTGTCTATTTTTTTCTTTACTCCTACCGTTAGCATACTCATTTTTCTTATGATATCCATCATCTTCATTTTTTATATCTTTTCTACCTTTATCTTTTGATTTATTACTGGATGAACTTTCATTTTTTATTAATTCATGTTTTGATGTCTTTTGATTGAATTCGTTCTTTTTATAAGCTTCATATGAGTCTGCATCTAAAAAAAAAACAATTTTTTTTATCACATGTAACAACCTACAGTATAAGTATAATTAAACTTTTAATGCCTGTTTCCACTTGGCGAAAGCTATAATTTGTAGGACCATTACCAATGAGTAATGTAAATAGAACATAGGATCACACAAAAACAATAATGACACAGTGGTAATAGGCATAAAAATTTTAATATTATAAATATGAATGATTGGATGGATAGATGGATGGATGTTTGTTAAAAGGTATTCACAGATCTGTTCAAGGATGTAGAACATAGTATGGAAGAATATATACGTTAATAATGAAGTTTTTTTTTTAATTCCACCCAGACGGAGCCGCTGGCGACAGCTAGCATTGAATAAAGTATTGATATTTTAATTGTTATGTATGGAATAACTTACTTATAACTTTAGCTTGTTTTTCATATTCAGATTTAGTGACGGGCTGCATCATGAATTCACTTAAACTGACAGTTTCCTTCTTGACAGGAATGTTCACCATCACTCGACCATTATCCTCATCCAAGCTCACCACCTGACAAGTAATCATAATATTAGATTTGGGATAGAAATCCATTATTTTAAGTAGAGGACTAAATTCATCGATATTATGTACTACATACAATTTTGAATTTATACATAAAATGCCGACAGTACATATAAAAAATGAACTGTTCTTTATTTGGTCCATTATGATGTGAGTTACAGGATTTTTAAACAGAGATCAGCAAAGAAATATAACATAATTGCACAATATTATTTTAAAAGAAAAATGCAAGCCTGACGGCAGAAATTATTACAATACAACTGCTTACTATATTCTATTAACAAATTTTTGATTATAAAAATTCAACTCGGATAAGCTTGAATTGGAAAGAACACAAAAATATTTTATTTATGACATATCATAGACAATGTTTGATTTTAGCACCAAATTGATGTTTTTTGTCTCTTACCTTGCCATAACATCCATTAAATTTTCCAGCGGTAATTTTCACACAAGCATTTTTAACAATTGCCAAATCCTTATCATTATCTTTTGCCACATTCTTTTGATTGTCTTTCATAACTTTGTCTGCACCAAGACCTAAACCTTTTGGACGTAAATTAGGCAGTTTATATTTTGACCTGGAAACAAATATAATTATTATAGATGGATAGACTTCTTAACATAACTCCATTTAATGAAAAAAAAAAATAGTTTTTTTAGTATTTAATTTGGTTTCCGACTTTTGAAATATATCTTCAAGTAACTAAAGTATTCTCCATGGAGCCCCTTTTGGGCGTCCACAACATAGGTACTGATGATAACTAAATGAAAACTGTAACAGTACTATAAAAAACCAGGAGTAAACATAAAAAAAAATAAAGATGCAAACTGAACAAGAAATATCTTAAAAAAATTTCAAATTCTAGGCCCTAGAATAATCTAACCTATGATCTAGGTTAGTATTCAATACTTGCTAACAAGGTTCTATAGTCAAAAAACTTTGAGAATGGCTGGGTGATGAGATAAGTTAATAATACATCAAAATGTGTTACAATGGAATATAAATTGTACACTTACGTTTCTTTCCCAGGTGTCCAACCCATTCCACGCAGCATGGCCATTCCAAATTCTCTTATAGGTACTGCTTCATAATCATCTAAGGAGGACTGAAAAATAAATTTTTAAGTATTAAGGTACAGTAATTTACAATTATCTATAAATGTGAAAGTTCATATAGATAAATGGATGTTTCTTTGAAGGTATTTCCAGAATAGCTAAATGAATTTTGATGAAATTTGGCACACATGTAAAACTTAGTCTGAAAGGACAAATAGGCTACTTATTATGTTTTGTTTTTATTCTGTGCTGATAGAGTTGTGGGCGACAGCTAGTAAACAATACATTTTCTTACTGTGGGTTTCTGACAATTCTCTTTATATTGTCATCCCTGTAATTATCTTTGATAACACAGATATAGCAATAACTTTTAAAGGGAAATTTTGGATTAAGAAACCCATGGTTATTCACACTTACCTCTTTTTGACCATCTATAACTGGAGTTGGTGGTACAAGTATTTTGAGTGACTGGACTTCTTGTTTCTTCTCCTGTTTAGCTTCTTGCAATAGTTCACGAACAGCCATTTGGTCAAGTGTCTCATTTTGTTTTGTTTCATTTTGAGTTTCAGGTGCTTGAGTTATTTCCGGCTCATTAATTGAACTTTCAACTTTCTCAGCTATTTCTTTTAATCTTTCAGCAGTTATTAATGTGTTTGGCTTCATGGGAATTATGAGGGGTTCCGACTCCTGTACCACTTCCTTTCTGGAATTTTTAAAAGCGTAATATTAAGTAAGACTTAATTTTGTTTTCACTTTTTAGAGAAGTAAATTAAGACATTTTTGTTTTTTATGCATATGTAAGTTCCCTTGTAGCTACTTGTAGCCTAAATGATTCAAACAATTTTGACGATTTAGGTGTCATTAACACCTTAATAATATAGATAAGATTTCAATCCAGATTTGAATATTTGTTTTTGAGGTTAGATTATTTTTGAGTTAAAAAAAATGTATTTCATAGAACTGTATTTAAGAATTTAGTATAGAAAACGCTGGGATCACATATTTAATTAATCATTTCATTAAAAAACGTATCCAAACATATTTGCTTCTACGAATTAGAGTTTTACAAACCTTCGTACTCACGACCGTTAGATCGTGAGGCCAGTTTAATAAGTAAAAGCTGTATATACCCAATGATTTTGATGGCATTTTCTTCGACGCTTTCAATATATTCACGTTGTTCAGCAATGACGGGCTTTTCTTGTTTCTTAGTCTTTAAAAATCCGAAGGATATTTTCTTAGTTTCCATTTTGTGTTTGGTATTTACGTATTCACTTCCATTTATGTTTGTGTAAAGACCTTTTTCTTCGCAACATAAAAGTAAATTATAATTGTTTATAAAGATTCATATATTTAACAGAAAATGTACAAAGAGTGCATATGTTTTCCTTTTTGCAAACAAGACGAGACAAAAGAGCAAAATTCCGACAAGTGACAGTGACGTTTACCTGTGACAAAACATTTACCACAGATAAACTAAATAGGACAGATAAATATAATCAAAACATCTTTACAAAAATATATTTGTATAGGGTGCCTAGAAAAAAAGGACACCTAAACAATTTTCTGAAAACATGAACCATGACATGAACATTACTATGGCATTGGTATAGTTGATTGTAGTCGAGTTGTTAAAGAATTTTATTGTAATCGCGGTGTAATTTTGAGTTCCTGCAAATTTGATGTGTAAATATGCTGAAAAATGTATAACCGCGTTTGTATAGGCAAAAACGTAGGGTAAGTCTAATATATTTGAATAAATAATTTGTAAATTAAACTAAATTAAATTCGTTAGATGTATTAACGTGGATGTAAAGTTTTGTAATGTCCATGGAGATTGTAGCACCCTCATTACCATGTTGTTATCATATTTTAAATAGGGCTATAATAAAAAAGGTAGTGATTGCTATCATTTTAGGCACAAACAAATCCGAAAGGGTAAATATTTGTTTATAATTTACGCCAATTGACGCAACTAATGTACGAGGAAAAGGATAAGTTATTTTTGTCTTTAAATATCAGGTAGTTTTTTTGAACTACCTGGCTATTATTTGGTACTTATATATCTTGTTTGTATCAATTGGCGCCACATTGACTAGGTACCAATTAGCTTTTCTGTACTTAGATAGATGCTGACCTGTATAGTGTTATAATATTCCTTTGTTATCTTGTCATCCCAGTGTCAACGATATTCTATTTCGCACGAAAAGAGGTTAGTTTACTTGTAGTTATTGATTCCATACTGCTCATACATCTTTATAAAATGAAATAGTAATTATATTAAGGTTAACTTAATTTGTTTTCGTCCTTTGCCCTTCATCTTTCTTTTAATCTATTCCATTTAATTTCTCTAGGGAAAAAACTCGTATCTTACTAATATTATAAATGCGAATGTTTAGATGGATGGATGGATGGATGTTTGTATGTATCTCAACAGCGGCTGAACGGTTCTTGATGAAATTTGGCAACAACACACAAAACCACAAATTTGGTACAAATAGAACATAGTCTGGAAGAACACACAGGCTAATTATGTTTTTTTTTTAATACCGCGCGGACGGAATTGCGGGCGACAGCTAGTTATAAATAAAAGCTAATGACTAAGATTATCTTTGGTCATACTTTCTTTGTTACGTAATTTTCAGCATCGTTTTTAATTACTTATATGAAATAACAGCGTTTTTCTTTTAATTTAATTAATATTTTACCAAGCGTTGATTCATACGATGAGGGATTAATTATATTAATGGAAAGGTCTCAGATTTAAATACATGCTTTTTTACGTGCGAACTCATCTTACTAATATTATAAATGCGAATGTTTAGATGGATGGATGAATGGATAGATGTTTATTGAAGATATCTCCAAAGCGGTCGTATAGATCTCCCTGAAATTTGACATAGATGTAGAACATAGTTTGGAAGAACACATAGGCGACTAATTAAGTTTTTTTTTTAATTCCGCGCGGGCGACAGCTAGTACATAATAAAAATTATCTGCGAAGAAATTCAAAAATATGTGTGAAGTCAACTAACTCGCAGTGGGCCAGCGTGGTTGATGGCATAATTACCTCTGATTTAGAGTAGGCTCCGACCCTCTCAGTGAGGACACTGATGATTCAATTACTTAGTATTTTATTTATGAAAAGAACTAAAAGCAATGAAGATCTTAATAAAAGAAAGTTTTAAGTTTTCCTTTTTTGTCATTTAAAATCGGATTTTAGCACTAAGCAAATTACTGAGTAATCATAAAAGTGTACGGTATTTAAAAATGCTGAATGAAACGTCATGTTTCTAACGTTTTCTAGTCACTTTATAAAAAAAAAGCAACGGAGTTTTAAATAAATAAATCCGCTGCTATTTGCCACACCACTTTTCTAACGCTTTCAACACGTGAAGCAGCGTAAAAAAGCATACCTAAGCGTGTCGCGTTGCCTGTTTTTAATTTATACAACTTTTAATACCTATATAATATTTATGAATAGAGGAAAATACATTTATAGAACTTATTAATTCTATATTAATTGCACTTACTTTAGTTATGACACAGATAATACAATACTTGACTAGCTGTCGCCCGCGACTCCGTCCGCGCGGAATTAAAAAAAACGTAATAAGTAGCCTATGTGTTATTTCAGACTATGTTCTACGTCTATACCAAATTTCATCGATTTCCCTTGCTATTCTGCAGATACTTTTTAACAAACATCCATCCATCCGTCTAAACCAGTCTTTCCCAAAGTGGGCGATAACGCCCCCATGTGGGCCCTTGCAGGTCTCAAGTTGTGAGATATAGTAAAAGTTTCGTTTAGAATTCTCCTTTAATATACATATATAGGTCACAATAATTAATTAATTTAATTTGAAGTTATAGTAGTTTTTAAATAAAATGATGCAATATGAATAATGTTTTTCGATCTTACCGATAGAAAAAGTTAAGTTTATGTTTAAGTTCATTATCGATAAAACACGAATAAAATGACATTTTCTAAAAATGATTCCTAGCTAGATCGATTTATCGCCCCCGAAACCCCCTATATACTAAATTTTATGAAAATCGTTGGAGCCGATTCCGAGATTCCAATTATATACATTTATATATACAAGAATTGCTCATTTAAAGATATAAGATTTATTTGTTTGTCGAACAGTTACTTTTAAGAGTTAAAGTGGTACACTGTCCCTCTGGTTTACACTGCCGGTGCAATGCGCAAAGTTTCAAAATATGTTCAAACTGTTAAACTTGAGACGACTGTGGCCGAGTACTAACTTTAAACAAGCTGCGCAACATATTTTAGAAATCGTGACAATGATTTAGGAAAATCGAAATAAAAACACAACAAACATATAAAACCTTTTTATTACAATTAAAATTACAATTACTCCACAAATAATGGACGTATTTGATATTAATTGTAAAATATTTCTAAACTAAAATTACAACACATTTTCAACGTGTTATTTTAAATCACCTCAAAACTTAGTTTGATCCCTTTAAACACTTGTTAAGCGTAAAAAGAAATACACCGGATATTCAATTTACGCGTTTTTTTATAAAACCAAAAATCGTTTTTTAAACTAAACAAACGAACTGTTCTGTTAAAACTGAAGTTGTAGGTGACTTTATTATGGGTGTCACTTCAGTGAAAACTCACTGTTAGATTAGTTTAAAAATTCGTTGTCATTAATTTAAGAAAGTGACAAATTAAACGCTACTTAAAAGTCTATTTGGTTTCGGCTGAATTTGATATTTTTAACAACATTTTTACATAATTTACATGAGGAAGGAAGTAGCATAATTTTTTTTAAATTTAAAATTGGACAAAGGTATTAACACGAAGCATGTTACGACTCCCGATATTTTTGACTTTAAACAAACACAGTTAAAAAACATTAAGAATTAATTAAATTAAGCGTGAAGGTGAGTGCAATTAAATAAAATATCTTTGCGTATTTCAAATAGATGGGATTGTTTTTTGTACAAGTGGCAATCGAGTAATTTAGAAGTTTTGAGCGTTTATTACTTTTTGTTTAATTTTATTACAATTACAATTTTTTTACAACCAAAAGCACCCATTTTATTTTACAATTCATTGCACAATATACAGATTAGATAGAAAACATATAACTAAGATTATTATTATACCTACTATATACAAAATTTATCACGAATCGACAAAATACGAATATTATTTTTTGCACTGAGCGTAAAGTCCTTTAATAAACATACATACACTTTGTAGGTAAAGGTCATTTCTCACTAGAACTACACAACTGCGTTATCAACCGCGGTCGACGTTATCAACGCGTGGACGCCGCGGATACGCCGTGTTAGTGACATGCGACCACCGCCCGAGCGATGTACTCTCAATTAATCGGAAGCAATTCCGCGTTTCGTCTGATGAGTGTGCGTCCCGGAGGCCTAATTTAGTCCACTTTCTCTTCCCACCCTTTTTCTTCCCTTAAGGAAAGGATGGGACGTGGAGGTAGACTTTCCGGATGAAAGGATGCATGGAAGGGGAAAATGTTTTCACTCTGTGCATCCTCTCCTCCATTAATTAAAGGTCGGCATCGCATATGCAATTGCGTATGTCTATGGGCAACGGTCACTTCGCTATTTCAGCGATTTCAGGTGGCCGCACTTTATGATATAAAAAAAAAATAGTGAAATTAAAACGTACCAGTTTTTTTTATTGTATACTTATTTAATTATTTCAAATATTACAAACCTAATTGTGTTATTTTTCACTTAAATAATAATCAGTTCCGAAACAAGTTTCTTTTGGGGATTATATTTACATTATAATATTGATGAATGTTGAATTATCTCTTATACAATGTCTTATTGAATTTAAATTTATTTTTAAAGTTACATAAATAAATTTTACAATTATCATAAGTTGTATCAAAATTGATAGAAATTGATTTTTATTTTTATTGATGACAGCCGATATGAGAAGTATTGATGGTACACACGATGCTGGAGTAGATGATACGCCGCTTTGCATTGCTTGAGGACGCTCGCTGTTTACTACATGCACCATTACTGACGCCGTATCTGAGTAAGTTAAGAAGTCAATTGAAATAAATTATCTGTTGTCTAACCGTAGAGCGTTGTTGGTTTAGGGGTTAAGCAGTCTTGCAATTTGCAGGTCCTGGGTTCGAATCCCGCCATGTACAAATATATTTTTCGATTTCCGATTTGCATATGAACATTTATCCGACGTTCTTACGGTGAAGGAAAATATCGTGATGCAACCTGCACATATCTGAGAAGAAATTTAAAGATATGTGTGAAGTCAACCAACCCGCACTTGGCCAGCGTGGTTGACTTTGGTCTAATCATCTCTTACTTAGTGTAGGCTCCGAGCTCCTCAGTGGGGACGTATAGTGAGCTGATGATGATAATCTAACTGTTACTGGACTGGGATATAAATATACAGCATCAAATTATTTCTGACGATGGTGCAGTTCAGTACTGACTTAGATGAAAAGTAAATTTCTTCACTGTAACTAATGAAAACTCCGAACCATCGCATTGATAGACGATTGTCTATTGTCCGTCTATTAAAATCGTAAAGAAGTAGTGACCTTGTGAAAGAAGAATAGTACCTGAATTACTAGGAACGCAGGTGTAATTGCCGGAGTCTTTCGTTGTTGCTCGCGCGACAAGCAATCGACTGGTACGTAAATGTTGGTCGGTTTCCACGCTGACGCCGCCTCGCAAGGCGTAGTTGATCATGTTCGTGTCACGATACCAATAGATAAAGCTGAAATAATAACACTTTAAAGAAGATTGTAACTCTAAGGTCTAATTCAACCTCTAGGTTCATTTGTAATCAATCAGAGACCGCAATTTGCTTATTCATGGAGTTATGTTTGTGCAGTTAGTGTCATTAAGGTACCAGGGCAACATGAATACCTTGGTGGTTCAGCGACGTTTGCAACTCGACACGTGAGGTTGATATCAGAACCTGCCCGAACAAGCACTTCCGTCCCCGTAGTGATTTCTGCTTTAGACACTGGAAGAAAAATTTACATTCACTCTTTTGTGTCATTAATAACAAGGTGTTTGAGTGTTCCCAGTTTTCTCCACCTTTTGAAAGTATCATTTTGCTACTCATGTCTTTGCTTAATTAGCGAGAGAGAGCAGTCAAAGACAACGACCACTTCTTGACATAGTTATTTGAGGTCAGAATAAGAACTTTTGTCAAGGTCGACAATATGTTTCTTGTTTAAGTTTTGATCTAAAGCATTTTGTTCGTTTGATTCCTGTCTTTACCCTTAACTTACCTTCTACTGTGAGCCAAAAGGTGATTCCCATTTTCGGCTCAGTTGATACTTGACACTCGTAGGCGCCCGTGTCTTTGAGCTGAACATTAGCGACACGTAGGACCCAGTCATCAGAGCCCTCTGTGTGTATCGCTGCGAAGCGTGGGTCTCTACTGTAAGCGTGTACTCCCACAGCTAAAATATGAAGATCCCTCTTACGTATCCATGATACCTATACAAGGTAACAAATTATTACTTATAATAAGTGCTTTGTTTAGTAACACGCTGGCTTAGAAGTGACAATGACTTAATTTAAAAAATAAAAAAGTTTCGGAGGAGAATAGGAATTGATTGAACCCAAAATTAACAAACAACCATCGACATCCAAATACCAATATTTCGCCCATATCTATGTTTTAAACGAAACAATTATGTGTCATACAGTTTTTTTATCTGTGGAAACGTCAGATACCACGATTATCTTTTTGTAATCGCTTTTGATGGTTATATTTTTAACTCAATTCATAGCTGAAAAGCTGGCTGGTACTAAACTGATATTTTATTTACTGCGTAATTTGATGTGCGAGTATGGTAACAGTTTTGTACATTCCGTAATATTTATTCTATTGTAATTTATTGTTTGTTTTGTTTGGCTTGTTGCCAATAGCACACAATGTATGAGCACCTTTATGGACAACATTTGTCTATGGGCTTGGCAAAGGTAAATACTCGTTTCATATCATTGTCTATGACATTGATTAATGATTAAAAACGTACGCTATTATGTGGTTGATAATACTCATAAATGTGTAATAATTTATATGGAAAACTATAAGAAAAATATTTCGATACGACAAAATGGTTATGTTTAGTGAAATTAAAACTTTTTTCTACTTGTACGTATATTTTAACATCCTTTTGTGTATTTTGTCTTGAAAGGATTACTCGATTGAAGTTCTTTGTCAAAGGAAACAACTATTCGATAAGACCCAATACAATAAAATGGGGAAAAATTATTTTAGACAACAATTGCGTAGCATTTTAGAGAACTAACGCCAAAAGTTTGTGAAAGGAGCAAAAATTGTACAATAAAATAAACGTCTATTTGATTAGGATTTATTATTTATCTACTAAACATAGAAAGAAATACTTACTTCACGATCACCCAAATTTTTCACAAAGCAATGTAAATAAGCAGGTTGACCCACAGCTGCTTTGTAGTCTCTGACAGAAGTATTATAGAAATGTGGCTCCTGTTTGAGTTTCACATTGACTGTGTAATTTGTGAAATCAAATATATCATCTTTACTTGGACCGTCTTGTCCTGATAATAATCCTGTTAAAAAGTAATTAAAAATAGATTTTACAAGCGTATCAGCTTAAAATACTTAAGGCTGTCATACACGGACAGCTTCAAACATCGACAGCAAAAAACTGAGATTCGTTTTCTTTGCCGTCCGTGTCTGTTTGCCCTTAGTAGGACATTTTTTTAGGCCTGGTATTATTTGGCTACCCCATCTATTGACCTGATAAAACATGCGATGTATCAGGTCTTTTCAATTTCTTTCAAAAGTGTCAATCTATCTAAAATTACAGATATTTTTTATGTATAGCAACATTTCCATTTTTTTTTGGCGGGAAATATAATACTAGCCCATTTAACTGCTCAATATGGAGAGTGAATATCGGGACAAATTAATATAATTTGTTCACTGAAATATTTTGTATCTTTTAAAGATATCGTGGATGTCGAAATGTCAACGTTCATTTACAGCCACAGGTGTCAAAAAAGTTATGGAAGTAATTCTTCATATCCTTTTCCATGACAGCAGTTATTTTACTTAAGTAAAGTAACATCAATAAGTAGACAGCTTATTAAGTAACAGTATCTTTAAAATTATCCTAATTCACATTCCTTAAAAAAAGATATACGTACCCAAAAGACCATATGAAAACGCCAACAATATAACTTTCATGATGCCCGCTCACTTTTTATATTTACAACATAACTTTTTGCTTAATAAACAACCTGCAACAACGCTTCTATTCACTAAATTATACACCTTATACTTTTCAGCTCAAAATTAAAAAAAGTAGCCTATAATGTAAAAATCTCTCCGTTCCGAAAATTACCCGGAACAAAGGCGTACTTGCTTATCACTTTAAAAGACATTCAAATATAAGTTATATGTAAATATATTAAACCATTTGGTTTCCGTAATTTCGTCAACGTGAATATAAAAGCCTACGTTAAGAACTCCCGCATACATCACTTGCGGTCTGTTGAAAGTATCCTCAAAAGTCTATCAGTTTCGGATTTAACCCAAAACTAAAATAGACATATAAAAAATTACAACAATTTATTTTTTTTATAAGTCCAACCTGCCTTTATCCCTACAGAGGATCGGCACAGTACTAACTAAATTCACACGATTATTACGCATAAACTCTTTCTCACAATGCACCCATACTTTCTTTGGTCTTCCTCTGCCTTTGTAATCAATTCAATCGATCTCATTACTTTTTTCTTTATGTTATCAATTTGTTATAAGCCAGTTACTTATGAAAATACATATCAGTTGTACCACATATTAAAATTTTAGTATTACATACAGACATTTCAATTTATTAATTTATTAATTTTATCTGTATAGATTTGTTCTCTTTGATCGCGTGCATAGTTCAAGAGGTTGCTGTCACATTTGGGGGCAAAAGCAACATTAAGTTGCAATCAGGCGTTCCAATTGCAAAATTACCCGAATGAAAAGCAATCAGTTTGAAGTAAAAGCAAAATTCATTTTACGTACAATTTTATTGAATGTAAATCCAGATATTTTATTAAAATGAATCAAAATAGTTTATGATTAAATTTCAAATTAACAAATAACGTCTATCAAAGTCACTATTATCAAAGATAATTAATAACCAAAACGTATTTGAAAATAGAACCTAATTAAAAAAAAACTGAATATGCTGTTCTCAGAATAATATAATTTCATAATTAACAATTTATATTCGAATATTTAATTTAATACGTGGAATTGAAATCGGACTGACAACTGAAAACATGCATTATTTTATAATATCTATGTAGAATACAAAGTATACTATAGTATACAACAAATGAAATTGATTTTTAATTTGTATATATTTTTATAACATCGAATCTGTCCGAATGAAGTAATGAGATTGAATGTGGGTAGCTACAAAGGTAGACCAAAAAAGTATGGAATGAAGTATGAAAGGGGATATGCGTAGGAAGGGGGTAGATTCGGATATGATGGCTGATAGAGATGTATGGAGGAGTTTTACATACAGTGCCGACCCCTTACAGGGATAAGGGTAAGTTGATGATGATCGAATTTGTCCGAATAATAAAGAAAACTACAATGTTATCACTGATTTCATGCGAGACAAAAGAATTTTTCGAATGCTAGCAGTAAGGTGAATTATGTTTAAAATATTGAATGAGATGTTTAACTTTTTTATTACCAAGAAATAATAATTGATTTTGAACCCTAAATGGATGTAAGAAAAATTTATTTCCACTTTTTTTTTTCGTCCAGCACCAAGTCTTAACACTGGTTGCGCCCGAGAAACTTTAAAAAGTGCAAACTTTCCCTATACTACTGGGTTTGTTATCGGTCCAGTTTATTCAGCAACAGACTTTAGACTACGTAATGCTATCGACGTTAAAAGATATTTTACAATTGTAGGCAACCTGAACTTGGCATTTCGCCAACATAAAACGATGTGTAACAAAGGATGACTCTATTAAAGAAAAAGTGGTTGCCTGGCAAAATATTCTTCAAATACACCATTCAGTATGTACTTTTTGTAATTCAATAGTAATGTAGTTTAGTAAGTTCCTACTTATTTTTAATCTATAAGGGTAACATAAGAGTTTCGTGAATAGAGTTATGTGAAGGAGGAAATAACATTTTTAATGCTTTTACTACGTAATATGTTGTTTTAGTTATTATGACTTCCCACTATATTACACTTCTAAAAAGCCACATCAGTCATTCTTAATAAAAAATAAAATAAAAAAGTAACCTCAATTTTGAAAAACCAAAAAACCCGACTGATGCTCTAATGGATGAAATAGCCACCTAATGCCTGCATTTTAAAACAAATATTCTTTAAAACAAATCTACCACAATGTGTAATTTGTGTTATGTTTTGGACAAGTTGTTAGAATTACCAATTTAATATCTTTCGACTTGACCTACGATTGCTACGAGCTGCCGACTGACCGATATATGTATAGAATCGTTTAATAAGAAAGTGTTATAATATATCTTAGCTTTACTACTTTTATAAGGTAAATGAGTGCATCAAACAAAAACAACAATAATATATAATATAATATCACGTAGCATGTTTGAATAGTACTTGGAATTCGATTTAACACTCATTCATTGTATTAAATTTTTAAGTAATTAATTTCATTCTAAACTATATTTAAAAATAATTATTTTACACATCTTATACTTACATATGTTAGATTTCATAATAAATGTAAACATATTTTTAAAATAAAACAAATACGCAGAGAGGACACTTATCACACAAACAAATATAACCAACAAAATGATATGATAAATTCAACCACATGCTTGTAATTTTCATTTTCATAGTAATAAAGACACAATCTTTCACACGAAAAATTAACTAATGTAATCCATTAAATGACGCTATAAAACACCAGGGGTAAACACGATTACGGTAACGAAATATACAAATCGTAGACACAATTCGGGCATGTACAACAAGCAAATTCGCCGCGCGGACTGGAAGGAAATTTCTCAGCGAGAGGGGATCGCGGTTCGCGCACGCGTTTCTCTCAATTCACAAACTGCCATACGGTATAACTACCTATAAGTATTTGTATTTATCCCTGATATTGCGGCTATATTCAATAAGGATTCACTTGTACTACTTTCATCATATCTTTTCACAGAGTACCATTGTTGTCCCGGCCTATATTAACCCTAAACACATTCAATTCCACCCACTCGTCCTGCGAGTTCGCTATCATTCTTAAAGTATGTGGAAGCATTAAAATGATCAAATCTATTTACATCATGTAAAGTGCAATATTTGCACGACCTTAGTCTAAAAAAAGAACTAAGCCAGAAATGTATTATATTAAATTGGATGCAATGAAGTTAGTCATAAAAGTCCGCTTAAAGTTTGCTCACCGAAATCCTGATCTTCGATTTTCTGATCAGTCAAAATCATGTCAATTAACGAAGCATCAGTTTGGCATTTGGATAATAAAATCGCACTTTGCGTGTTATCTCCCGCCCTAAGTACCTACCTACTTGCTTGGGGATAATCTCACTCTGATCAAAGTTCTAAATGCACATAACTAAACTTAATGACGACATGGAATATTTTCGAAACCTTTGGTAGTTTATTTTGTAAATCGTGTTTATTGTAAAAGAATTTTACGTAACATAACGAACAAAAGTGTAAAGAAAAATGATTTAGGTTAGGGAGGTGTTATTGGTTTTGGCAAACTGCCAGGTTTGCAGATGTACTATAAACTTTCTTCTATTTAAAACAATTAAAGATTTAAATGTCTCATTCGCTGACGCTTTTGTTCCCGGTCACCTTATTTCCTAGGTGTATTGCACAAAAAATATTTTTAACAAAAGAACTTACGCCCGTAACATATTGAGGTAATCAGAGATGCTAGTGGTTTTCTTCTTATTCTTCGTCGTTGCAAGTCTGGTCGTGGTCATCAAGTATTAGTGACCCGCTTCAGGCTCCGCCACTCCTCCCTAGTCGCTGCGTTTTTAGTCATTGGTGTAGGGGGACTTCTACAGCCGCTCTGTTTTGGTCGGTCCACCTCATGGGCAATCTGCCTCGTGGTTTGTTGCCCTCCACTTTCCCCTGCAACACCAAGCGCTCGATGGATTCGTCATTACGTCAACAGACGTGAACAAAGAATGTGAGTATGCAAGCTCGAACAATTGATGACAGATGCTGCTTTTGGATACTCTTAATACTGCCTTTTTTAGTAACTTACCGTCTATGTCAATAGAAGTTTGTCTAGGAGTCGTCCTACAAACTCTATATTGTTTTCGCAACAGTAATTTCCATTGTTAAAATTTATAAAAACACAAAATTATTTTACGTGTGTTTAGTTTTTGTTGAGTTTTCTGACTTTGAATATAATTCCAGAGGTTAAAATAAGGTATCACCTTTAAGAAAACGTAGTATATTACAAACGTAAATCTTGCGTTTCAGGCAGCTTCCGGTTTTTGAACACGCCCTTTGCATTAGTAGCAACGCTTGATATATTATGTTTGACTTTTATATTATGTGTTACTTTAATGTTTCTATAAAGGTTAAAGTTGATATCCATTTGTTACCAAAATATCATAATATGAAGATTGTAAAACATTATTTGTCTTCAAAACAGTCAATTTGTGGAGGCGGATAATTGCCTACGTATTGTTTTTCTTTACCATAATTTCTATTTAAATGATAATTTTAAATCGCGTGACTGTGTAATATTATGATGACATGGTGTGGATCTGATGATGGCGCTGGAAGATGGCGATAGGAACTTCCTTAGTAAAGAAACGACACAATCGTCTTTCGACGAGTAGTATTTCTTTTTTATTTTTATACTATTAATTAACATAAACGTAATAAAAGCTTATTTTTAAAGGTGTTTATTTTAATTTACATTTATGTCCTGATCTCCTTAACCACAACGTCAAATTGTTAAAAGCTTTAAGAACGAAAATAATGAAGTTTTGACTTTAAAAGTGTTTCTGAACGAAAACGTCACCGACTTTGACACTGACATGTTTTCATGAGTGATGTCAATATTATTTCGTACACATTGTGCAATTTTAAAGTTAACATTATCGTATATTTTTTGATATCATTCGCTTATAAGACTCTTATTGAAGAACAAGTTAATCACAAATCTAGTAGAAATTTTACAGTGGTTTAAAAATGAGGCTGGTAGATACAACGAAACTTTTGGAATTACAAAACAAACCTTCAAATGTGCGAAACATTTGTATCGTAGCACACGTGGACCATGGGAAGACAACCCTGGCCGATTCCTTAATATCTAGTAATGGTATAATATCCCAGAGAATGTCAGGAAAACTTAGATACATGGATAGTAGACCTGACGAGCAGGAGCGAGGTATTACAATGAAAAGTAGCAGCATTTCTCTGTACCATGTCTTAGAGAAGGAAGAATACCTTGTAAATCTGATAGATTCACCTGGGCACATAGATTTTTCTAGTGAAGTCTCTACAGCAGTGAGATTATGTGATGGAGCAATTGTTGTGGTAAGTTGTAACATTAATCTCTGCTATCCATATTTGAAAAATATTCTATAAAACATAGTATCTGCTGACTAATATATAAACAATATATTACAGACATAACTTGTATAGAAACTGGTTGGAAATAAAAAAAATACAATAATTGTAAAAACAATTGCACAATATTATGTTACACCATTATGAGTGCAGCAGTATATGTATTTATTTAAATAAAGTCGAACCTGGATATGTGACAATCCTCTATAATTGAGAGTCATGGTCCAGTAGGCAATATCCATAGGCAAGAAACTTGGGTTAGTGAGCAACTTCTTAAAGAGAAAAAAATATCATGGATCCTTTTGCTTATCCATCTCCAACTGTAAAACTGTACTTAAAAATTTATTCTTTACTCCAAATATGTAATTAAAATTTATTTAGATTTTTATTCAAACTATAGAATTAAATCATACAGAGTGCACTGAAAACTGAGACAGTTCTTTTTTTTGTTTTATTAGGTGGATGTAGTTGAAGGTGTTTGCCCACAAACGAGGTTAGCTCTAAAACAAGCATATTCTGAGAACATTAAGGCAGTACTGGTGTTAAATAAAATAGATCGACTTATATTGGAGATGAAAATGAATGCACTTGATGCTTATATACATATAAGCCAAGTTTTAGAACAAGTTAATGCTATTATGGGGGAATTGTTTGCTTCGGATGTATTAAAAACTGAAGAAAACATGATTGATAAAAAGGTAATTCTATATTTTTACTAGTAGTGCTTAAGCCATAAACATCTTATAATAAAGTTAAGTACAGTTAAGGTGGAGATGGTGAATATAACTACAAACATATTTGTTTTACATATCTTTTAAAATTACTTTTTTTACTTAACCTGTTAACCGGACAAGACGTATAAATGCGTCAGGCGTAAACAATATTGATTAGGGGTAGGACATATGAATATGTCTTCAAAAATTATATTTTGTTTACTTGCTTTTAATTGTTTTGTGATTTCTGATTCCTTTTGTACTTCAAAATTATTAATAAACGAATGTATATACATTTCATAGTTCGTCATTCATTTTATGAATAAATTAAAATATAGAAATATGAAATGACGATCTCCGGGCGTGACGTATTGACATGTCCTAGCGAAACAATACGCGCCCGGTACATGTTGCATTGAATGAGAACTCCCCGGTTAACAGGTTAAAATTGTGTGGTTTTTTAGTGTTATACAACTGTTCATTTGTTTGCGCAAAAAAATTATCTTGAGAAATCTTTATAAATATATAATTCTTCTGTGAGTGTGTATGTCACTGAACTTCTCTCAAAGAACTGGACCGATTTTGATGAAATTTTTTGTGTGTGTTCAAGGGGATCTGGGAATGGTTTAGATTCACAATTTTCATCAAATATTAAATAACTTCAAATTAATTTATTTAAATTAAAGACGTGTAGACAGGACAACGTCTGTCGGGTCCGCTAGTATAAATATAAAATGCTTTTTTGTAGCAACAAGATGATATTTCCACAAAAGTGCAACCAGAGGACAATAATTATTATGATTGGACATCAGCTTTGGAAGATGCAGATGATTCTACGTTATATTTTTCACCGGAACAAGGAAATGTTGTGTTTGCCAGTGCAATTGATGGCTGGGGATTTAGTATACATACATTTGCTAAATTATTTTCTAATAAACTCGGTATGTTTTTTTTTTAACTTATAAAACTATTAAAAAATGTGTAGTAAGAATTCAAAATTTAGTTGATAAGTTCCTGCTTTAACTTTAGCCTTATCTATATTACGAAGAGGAAAAATTTGATTGTTTGTGTTGAGTAGGCTCTACAATTAGTGAACCGTTTTGAATAATTCTTTCACTGTTGGGAAGCTAAACTATCCCCGGTTGACATAGGCTATATTTGGTTTTATATGCGCGGACGAAGTCGCGCGCAACTGCTAGTTTAACATGAACTGTATGCATAAAACAAGATAGTAATTTTTTTAGGTGTTAAGGAGGAAATTCTTAAAAAAGTTCTATGGGGTGATTTTTATTTGAATCCAAAAACGAAGCGTTTTATGAAAGGTGCACAAGAGAAAGCGAAAAAGCCTTTATTTGTACAGGTTATATTTGATAATTTATGGAATGTTTACGAAACTATTGTTATGAGAAATGAAAAGGATAAGGTCCCTGGTATTTGTGAAAAATTAAATATTAAGCTTACAACTCGAGATTTGAGACATACAGACAGTAGAGTTCAACTGCAATCATTAATGATGCAATGGCTACCTTTATCTACTGTAGTATTAAACATGGTTTGTAAAATGTTACCATCCCCAAAAGAAATATTACCAGAAAGAGTAGAGAAATTAATGTGCTCCCCAATAAGAGATTTTGATTCTTATAGTTTGGAAACGAAAAATCTTAAAGATGACTTTTTAGCCTGTGATAGTAGTGAAGATAGACCTGTGATTATTTTTGTATCGAAAATGTTTAGTGTGGACAAAAATGTTTTGCCAGAAAATAAACCAAAAGCGTTAACGTTAGAAGAAATGGCCGCAAGAAGAGAACGAGCACGACAAATAAGACAAGAGAAAAATGCTACAGATTTAGAAACAACTCATGAGAACGAAACGAAACTAGAAAATGATAGTATAGAAAAATGTGTTGAAGACGAGATTGAAAAGGAAAACAAAGATCAACCAGCATTTATAGCGTTTGCTAGAATTTTTAGTGGTAAAATAAAAAAAGGTAGCACTATTTATGTTTTGGGTCCTAAACATGATCCTAATAAAATTCTTAATTTGATAGATTTAAAAATCGATGCCAATAAGAAACTAAAAGACTTACAAAGTGATGAACATATAACTATAGCTCAGTGGGTACTTTTTGTTTAATCGTTTTTTGATATTTTAAACTTTATATTTCGTAATTTTGTATTTTATTTACAGAGTTAAATCATTGTATATTTTAATGGGAAGAGAATTGGAAGAAATAGATGAAGGAGTTGCAGGAAATATAATAGGTAGGATTCGATCAAGTTTAGTCGATTGTGAGACGTGGTCTAACAGCGTTTGAGTTGTCACGTCGGGAAATACAGAACTCTTGTATCAGACGTGCCAAATAAGACTTTATATAGTATAAATCGGATTGATTGCTGTTTGAAGATTTTGTGATGTTTAATTTTGTTTCTATTGGTTTAGGTATCGGTGGATTAGATGAATACGTACTTAAAACAGCAACTTTAAGTAGTACAATAGCTTGTCCTGCTTTCTGTGAGATCCAGTATGCAGCAGTACCAATATTAAGAGTTGCCGTCGAACCTGCGTATCCTTCCCAACTACCTCAACTTGTCAAAGGTAAGCTAATCTTCGTTGTGTATTTGCTCTTTCAGATGTTTGTAAAATGCATTTTTTACCTGTACTTTTGTAGCAATTTTTGATAGACTTACGTCTAGACGTACAATTTGAGTTTATATATAAATGATGTACATTTTATACAGCAATTTTAGATCGTAACCACTAAAGCGGGTTGTGCTTGCGAATTGTACACTCGGGGAGTTTGACGGTGTCCACGTTTAAAGCTACAGTCGCTTGAACGTATTGTACGTATTGAGACAATGATGCGAAATCAATAACCAGTAAGACGCAGCTTTTAAATGTGTGTAATAATACGTCTTAAAAATACGTCGGTCAGTGGTACGCTGTTATAATTGCTTTTTTTTCTAACCGAGTTGTTTGAAGTGGCGGAGTTCATCTCGTTGCAAGAAACAAGGCAACTTTATTGTGTTATTTAATGTGTGAAACACCGCAGATTTCCGCGACTGTACATCGGAGTCGGCATTATTCCTTTTGGTAGCGTAATACCTAGAACAAAGTGACTGCATCAAAGTTCGTAACGTGAACCTCGCATTGTCACTTTTGTGTACTCATCATATATTCAGTAACTTGCGTTCCTTTGAGTCTATTCTCTGATGTTTATGGCTTTACTAAATTATCATTCTATACGCGGTTATTTTTTGATCACTCTGAAAAAATCAGGTAATATAGAAAATAAAAGATGTTAAGTTTGTATTTTTTTTCAACAATGATACAGTTCATAAGAAATTTAAATAAAAAAAAATCCTGTAAAAAATATAACTACGAGTTATTTAATTAATGGTTAGACGTCCGATAAAGGGAATGCACGGGGAGTAGGTAAATAGTGGAATTCTATGCTTGCGGAGTAGTTGCTTATTAGAGAATAAGGCAAAACTTCAGATGCAGTGCGGACGCGTTTAATCGGGCAAGTTACAGAGATGAACTGACTTATATTTTAAAGGTCACAGAAATGCAAGGGCAATGTCGATGGTTGCAACTTCACGTCATTACTCATTGGCCAATTGATTGGATCATCATCATCATCATCATAATCAGCCTAAATTTGTCCCCTGCTGGACGTGATTGGATGCACATTGCTATATTTTTTTAAAAGGCGTATTGGCGCGAACAGATATAATTTGATCAGATTTTTCTGAATATAGAATTTCTGAATGGTCGGAAACTATTATTACAAGGTTTATCTTAACTACATTTATATATTTATTGCAATCGACCAATAAGAATAATTTTTCTGTATTGATTTTCATTGTTCATATAGAAGTACGATTAGTAGTGGCAACATGTTACGCTATTTTTTTTTCTGTTGACCATAAAATAACCGTTTATAATCTGTATAATTCATGCTGTCATTTTGGACGTTTTTTTGACTGTCTACAAAAGGGTAGTCGGAAAAAGAGTCTCGTAATAATCATGATTTTGCCACCAATGATGGTAGATTGGAATTATTCTTGGAAACATAACAGTGTTATTTGTTTTATTATTTTGAATACATTTTTATAGTTTTAATTAACTTTAGAAATATATTTTTTTCGTTCGTAGGCCTAAAGCTTCTAAATCAATCAGACCCATGTGTACAAGTACTTCTTCAAGAATCAGGAGAGCATGTATTAGTTACAGCAGGTGAAGTGCATTTACAGAGATGTTTAGAAGACTTAAAGTACGTATAAATGTAATACCAAGCTATCGTTTTGTTTTTGATTTCCAATGTAAAATGACCTAAGATTATTTTTAGAAACTATAAAGAGCAGGTATCAGCTTAACTTGGATATTTGACGAACGAGCGGCAATTTTTGTTGATTATTTTTCGATTCAATATTTAGTTTTATTTTTTATATCATAAGGTGGCAAACTAGCGAGCGGTCACATGAAATTGATGAAATAGCGAAGTGACCGTTGCCCATAGACATACGCAATTGCATATGCGTTGCCTTCCTTTAATTGACGGTGGAGAGGATGCACAGAAAGAAAACATCTTCCCTTTCCATGCATCCTCTCATCACACTCATTAGACGAAACACGGAATTTCTTCCACTTTACACCTGTCTTATTTGTGGTTGTGGTATTGCACCGGGCGAATCGCCCAATTCTCACAAAGATATTAAAGCGGGCTTCCACTGATAATTATAGTTAGTGGTTGGTACTTAATTATTATTTCATTTTCAGAAATATTTATGCTAAAATACCATTATCTGTTTCGGAACCGATTGTACCGTTCAGAGAAACTATTGTTGACCCGCCAAAAATAGATATGGCTAACGAAGAAATAGATTCACAAAATATAAACAAAGGAAATGACATTAGTGATCCATACATAATTATGTATACTAGTAATAAACAGAGTAAAATAAAAATAAAAGCAAAACCACTGCCAAAAGAAATAACAGAATTGTTAGAAAAATCCACTGATTTACTAAAAGCTATCTCGCAACATATAAAATCGTTACAAGGCGTTTCAAAAAATGACAATATAGAAAATAAATTAGATAAAATGCAACTGAATGGAACGAAAAATTCTCTATCGGAACGAATTTTGAAGCTAATTGAAATATTCAAATCTGAACTGCAAACAATCTGTTCGAAATTGGGACCCGAATGGGAAAATGTAGTGGAACAAATATGGTCAGTAGGTCCTAGAAATTGTGGTCCCAATTTACTTTTAAATCAAACGAATGATTACAAAACGAAGTTTTTACTTCATGAAAAAGAGATAAAAGAGGATCCTAGATTTGAATACGAGGGCAGTTTTGTGAATGGATTTCAATTGGCCACACTTGCGGGTCCGTTATGCGAGGAACCAATGATGGGAGTTGCGTTTTGTGTCGATGAGTGGACTTTAGAGAAAAACGAACAAGACGATGTTAATCACACATTTGGACCACTTTCAGGTAATTTGTTTTATTTATTCCCTTATACAGTCGTTCTTTTCGATCTTTTTCCTAGACTTTCGTAATGAGGTGTGTACTAACGCATCAATTGACAACAGTATTATTATTTCCTATCTTATAGTTACATTCATCTTACTAATTTTACTATATTATAAATGCGACTGTTTATGTTTGGATGGATCAATGTTTGTTTGAACATATCTCCAGAACTGCTGCATGTATCTCGAACTTTAGTATAGATGTAGAACATAGTCTGGAAGAACACATAGGCTAATAATAAGTTTTTTTTTAATTTAACGCGGATGGAGTCGCTGGCGTCAGCTTGTATTATAAATGTGAATATTTGGATTGATGTTTGTTACTACGTTTCTGTAGAACGGCTGTACGGATCTCAATAAAATTTTATATAGATGTAGAATACATTCTGAAAGAACACATAAGCTACCTATGACCTTGAAAATGTGTGCGATTCGCATAGGATATGTTCGATCAAAATATTTACTCGATAAAATTGTAACGTTCTGACATATTTTATTGAAATTTGGCATAGATATAGAACATAGTCATGAGTAACATATGAGTTATTTTTTTTTTCTTAGGTCAAATTATATCAGCGGTAAAAGAAGCTTGCCGGAGAGCATTCCAAACCCAGCCGCAGCGGTTGATGGCTGCTATGTACTCGTGTGATATCGTCGTCGATCAGAAAGTTTTGGGTGAGTAAAACGAATTATGTTAGAAAAAAAAACTAATTTTGTATTTATCACTAATATTTACACGTCAATTTTTTTTACTCATACATTTTGTTATAAATAATTTTTATCAACTAATTACTTAAATAGTTATAAATGCATTGAAATTACATAATTTCATCACCTAACAGAACTTATCACATTATATTGTTGAGTAATTTTTTTCCTTTTTAATATCGTGTTTTGGTGGGGATAACATATTTTTTTTCTATCATAAAATATGTTAAAAAAAATCAAATACTGTTTTGAACACTACAAATGGCTTGCAGTGTACACAAAAAACTATGCAATTTTTAATCAATATAACTGGCTTAGAAATTTAAATTAAGCACTTACTTTCTATATATGCCTCCCTTTGTAACATACGGAATGGAAACTATACATCGGCGTTGAATACAAACATTAATTGAATGGCCTGGCCTATATACTCGTAAAGCGTTTTAAAATTGCGTACGTAATACTATTAATGTATTCGTTGAATTCAAAAAGGCGTTTAGATTACAATGGCCTATTTGAACCCAACATAACTTAAACATATCTATGATTTCAACCGTCGTCATACATATCTCTCTGTTTTTAACATACAGAATAATAGAGATGGCAATAATGTAAAAGTGTAACGACAGTGGAAACTCATTTGATAACCTAATTGGTCCAATGTAAAGATTGTGTTAGTTCTTGAACCTTGTCCCAAGGAAATGGTGGGTATAGGCTAGCCATTCGTCGCATACGAGCGGCTCTCGACCTTCTGTTGTAGTAATTAGAGTCGATAAAGCTGTGCGACTGGAAGCGGTTGTAGACTGGCTTATCTGAGTAAGAGTGTGGTTGAGAATAATCCACTTTGTAAGAGCTGGTGGTGCTTGAAGGGCTAGTATATCTATTTCCTTTGTAACCTGAAATCATATACACTTTATTTAGTCATCTTACTAAGTTAAAGTTATACCAATAAATTAAAAGTATCGGCATTCACAAATAAAATGGGACCAAATGACACGCAACACCTTTCGAATAAAAAAAGAATTATGAAAATCGGACCACCAGGGACGGAGTTTTCGACAAAAAAAAAAAACAAACATACAGAAGAAGGAGGAGGTCCTTTTTGAAGTCGGTTAAAAAAGTCTAAATATTTTCGGCTCTATCATTGTCTCTGAAGAAAAGTAATTTGTTTATGGACAGATCTTTTCATAGTTGTACCTTTTTGCTTCGGAATATGTATCACTTATAAATTCTTTAAAAGAGCAGCTTATATTTTTTTGGTTTACATTAAGACTATTGAAGAAGCAAGAGAGGTGAGTCAGGATCGCGCCAAGAGGTTCGTGGTCTCTGCGTACTCTTTTGGGTTACGAGCGTGAAGTTTGGTGATGGCTCTATTTTTTTTCGGTAATGTCTAGTCTAGTTTCTCTTTTTTAAACCTAATGTATTATCTGCATTTACCGCTGAATTAATCAATCATAGATTATCTAGAGACCAACATTAAAACATTTCGGTAGAACGAGAAACTCGTTGATACAATTTACTTTGTCTATGTTATCTCGGCAAGTTATTAATGATACTGACCTGATTGAAAGGCTGGAGATGGTCGTACACACATCATGCCATACACTCTAATACCCGGAACAGATGCGTATGTTGGCTGGTCATGCGTCATAGGTCCCTCTGAGAAATAAACAAAAGAATTATGTGAATATAACAAGAACTACATACACACTCCAATCTATCCAACCTAAGTCTGGCTATTACTTTCTTGGGAGTGCAAGGTTATATATTGAGATATATTGCTGATAATAATGTTAAACGTTGGGTTTTTAAGACCAAAATCTCTGTATACAACATGCCGTCGTCTCTGTTATTATCATCGACAAAACAGAGATGTTTTAAATCGAGATTTTGGTCTCAGAAAACCACAGTAAGTTATCTATCATTATAGAATACATAGATTAAAGAGATTCGTGTTTTTGATATTTCTTTGAGATTTAATAAACTAAATAGCAAGTCAAAGCTTTGTGACACAAAAGTACTGAGAATCGTCTCTCTTCCTAGTATTCCAAATAGTGGTGGAAGACATCAAAAAGTCTTCTTATTAGGCTAACGTCAAGTTATGTAGTAAATATCTATTTTTTGCACCCTGAAATAATTAATTTCAATTAGAAACTTACCTAATATATGAGTGTCTGGACATCGACAGATCACCAAGTAGTGTGATTTCCCAGTTCTTATGTTCTGTAGAGCTAACAACGACCAGTCTCTTGGCGCGCGACATTCTCTCATTTCGGACACTGCTTCGCATGTCTTTACTAATGTTACCGCTTTCTTCGCGTACTGGAACAGAAGAAAAAGTACATTTATAAACACTTCACACCTAAATTTCAAGAAAAAAAATATATCTTAAAGGATGGTACTGTTTTCAATATATAATGAAATTATAGTCTTCAATTAAAATGTTTTAACTCCAACATATATAGTCGGCAAAATCCATGTCTAAATAAAATAGCATCCAAGCCACATCAATCGAATACAATCGTTATAACAAATAGGTCGATACAAGCACAAAGCGTAGTTTAAATTACGTTAACGCGAAACGAATATCGTTCTCAACTATTAGCTGTGAAATAACGGTACATAGGGAGCGATTGCAACGGCTTGTTTGTGCAGTATTACCTTCTTTTTGGAGTCGGTGGTGAGGCGCGTGGTATGCAGGTCATCCGCGTTAAGGCTCGCCGAGCAAGGGTCCCGGTAGCGCGCTGGGCACGCGCATAGCGGCTGTGTATAGTTCAAGCGAACGTATACCGCATTGCACACCTAGACACGTAATAGAATATTTACATAAGCTTTTTTACTTATAATGGTTATGGTATTAGATTTTCACGAGAAAAAATCATATGTACCATCTACCTATATCTTTCTAGTCTTAGTATATTTGAAGAATTTATACATCATATAGTATAATGTGTACAGTCAGCTGTATAAATGTATATGTATACATTTACATAGCTTCAACTTGTATACGCCTTTTTAAAAAATACGTATACACTTATCCGTTTGTATTCTTCCGACCATAAAAAACATGCTAATTATGAATATTTGCATACGTATTTTTGAAACCGAAGCCCTTTATAAGTTGCTACATTTCTAAATGTTTACATATTTTTGCAGCTGACTGTACGTAAACCTACGAGTTTGACACTTATAAAACACACTCATCTATTATATAATATTTCTACTCAATTTTGGTTTTAAGATTTCATTTCTTACAGTTACCTAAAAATCGTAATTTAAGGTTGCATAAATCAAATTCATATTCAGGTTCTTAGTAATAAGCATGTCCATTTGTACACTATAAATAGACTTAATAAATGTATTCAAGGCTTAATTACCTGTTGTATAGCACACTCTGGCAGTAGGTAAATGTGTTGATTATGAGGATAGTAGTGGTATTTCGTCGGCTTCGCTAACACAGAAGTGGAGCCGGCGGGCAGCGGTACTGTCTGAAAATAACCATTATAATGATTGATTAACTACGGTAAACGAAAACTTGTTATATTTGACATTCTTTCATCGCGCAAAAATTTATGACACCATCGAAAGCGTTAATGTAGCCGAGATGTCATTAGCACCGAGCACAATGATGTGAAATATCTCTAGGTCGACGCCGCTCCATCCATTCATCAGCTCTGTGAGAATCTCTTTGTCAAATGAGATGAGGTCTGACGTCTAACCTTACTTTTCTTTGATCTACATGCGGCTTAACAGTATTAGACGCTACATTTTCTTAATAATACTATGAATATTTCGTTGATTAACATGCAATTTCTTCATTTTAGTTTGTGTTGTCAAATTATATAATAGTTTTTAGCTTTATTTCACCCTTTTGTAAATATTCAAACTGTTCGATCAACACTTACCTTACTAATATTATTATGTATGTCTAGATCGATAGACAGATGTTTGTTGGAAGGTATTTCCAGAACTGCTGCGTGGATCTCGCAGAAATTATGCATAGATGTAGGATATAAGATAGGCTACTATTTTTTTTTCCACGCGGACGGAGCCGCGGGCGATAGCTAGTATCGAATTAAAACCAAAACGTTTGATTGTTTACCGTTTAGCAACTTAAATCTTATTCAGATGTCTAAATAGAGTCATCGTCTAATCAGTTAAAGAAACAGTTTATTATTTTGGTAATAACGAATGCTAACAAAGGCTAAGTACACCTGCTGAGAGATGTAATTTTGATAAAAATCCATCTCGTCTGTTTGAACGCAAAGTGTTCCAGTGACCCGTTTAGTTACATCAAATGTTATTCCACAACAAAGAACTTTTTGTATCTATCGCGTTGCTTCTCAAACAGTACTTTTTGCTGTAACCACTTTAATTTGTCCTCTAAATTGCTTTTTTGGTTTACGTTAAATCATATTAAATCAAACATTTTGTTTATACAAGCTTTATAATGGAACTAGCTGTCAATCGCGATTCTGTTCGCGCGGAAGAAAAAAAATAATTTTAAGCCTATGTGTTCTTCCAGACTATGTTCTATATCTATGCCAAATTTCAGCGATATCCATAAAGTGGTGTTCGAGGTACTTTCAAACAAACATCCATCTATACATCTAGACATTCCCATTTATAATATTAGTAAGATAACATACGAGTATATGCAACAATAATAGAATATTAATTTGAAACGAGGATTTAAAGCTTAATTTATTTTTTTGTCTTTAGAAATTTTAATTACTGTGTAATACATTTGTTATTTGGACAAAAGAGTTTTCTCTATAAAAATACAATTTCTTTGTAATAAATTCTTTTAATGTTTCCAATAAAGATATTGTTTATTTGCAATCGTGAAACTATGATCATTGTATTGGAAGTTTGCTTAAATGTAAAGCCTTGATTACGCCTTTCATCTTGATTTTTATTTAGTTTTTACTTTAGTAATTAGTTTACATTCAGTTCATAAAATGCAATTAAAGTTTATGAAATACAATTTGTATTAATTGTATTATTTAATTTTTCTCTATTTAATAAACTAGCTGCCGCCTGCGACTCCGTCCGTACGGAATTAAAAACAGACTTAATAAGTAGGCTATGTGTTCTTCCAGACTGTTCTACATCTATGCCAAATTTCATCAAGATCAATGCAGCCGTTCTGAATATATCTACAGACAAACATCCATCCGTCCATGCATCCATCTAAACATTTGCATTTATAATATTAGCAAGAATACTATGATAGGTTTCGTTAAGGTTATAAAAAAGAAAAATGGCTAAAATATTTTGGACTAACATTTATTCGATTATATTGTTAGATAGTTAGAAACAGTGGTAATAAAATCTAATATCTATGAGATTTTTACCAACAAATTACCGGAAGTCACGACAAAAGCTCGACCAATCGTGACGGTAGACTATCATGCGATAATCCTAAATCATGTTTTTTTTGTACTATCCTTTAAAATATTTGAAATGAAAATTGAAAACATTTAAGATAAAACTAGCGAAATGTATTACGCGGGATTATTTACATTATAGTTTTAGTAAATAGCGGATTTATAAATCTTACTATATTTTCTACGCTTAGTCACCATTTTGTAGAATATGTAAGGCATTAAGTAAATTGTGAATGAATAAACATTTAATTGGCATAAAAACCGTAGCAGAATTACGTAAAAGAATACTTACGTATATTTATATGATTCTTCTCTATGCGTTCTTAAATCTTTAAATAGTGTCTCACGGTGTTTGTATTTTAATATTTCTTTACTTAATGTGACATAGCAATGAATATCGCGTTCTAGCTTATATATATCTTAGAATCAAGATCACTTTACAGTAAAAACGCAAATTCACAAAAAAACATTACCGTCAGCATCATTACCTCGCTTCATTCTCTATTTCTTATCTCTAATCGATAGCTAACTGAACAGTTACGAGGTCAAAGTAAGGATGAGTCAAGATCTCGCGATATGTTTACCTTAATAGCCTATCTAGATTTGCGATCTTGAAATGAACTGAACTTTGCAATTTGCATTCATAACAATGGATCATTGAACTGTTGTAACGACTTTCATAATCATGTTCATCATTCTTTGCTACTTTTTAAGTATCTATTACGTGTTAGATACAGTAATAATGTAATAAACTTTTGTAAGATCATCATCATCAGCTCAACATACGTCCCCACCGAGGGTCTCGGAGCCTACCCTAAGTTAAAAGTGATTAGGCCATAGATAGGGTGATTTTTGTGAGATATTGTTATAAAAATAAATTCCAGCTTGATACCTTCACGCGTTTTTGGTGGATAGGTACGAACCTATTACGATTTACTGTTTGAAGTTAAAGAAACAAAATAACATCTTAAATAGCATGAAAATCCGTTCATTATTACTATGTTAAAATAAATAAAAACGGCTACACTCACGTACAGTCATAAGATATCGGTACCGACTAGTTTCGAGCCCATTGGGCCCTTCTTCGGAGCGAATAAGGCTAGTATTCGCGGTCGCGGCCCTATCATTGTGTACTCGGATTTATAGGGTTCCGTAGAGTACGAACTCTACATGGAAATGTTGATAGTTTTTTTAATAGGCTTCCAAAAAAAGGAGGTTATCTATTCGTCTGTATGTTCTTCTGTGTCTCTCTCTTTGGAAAACTGTAAAAGTCTTGTGCGTTTTTTTTATTTGTACGTAATTCCCTTTTGTTATTCTTGCTTATAGTTCTATTGTTAATTTAAAGAGGCAAATCAAGCTAAAACTATTCCCGTGAGAAATAGCTAAAATAAAGTTGCGTTTCACTGTACATTGCTTCAGTGGTTGCAATGCTTTGCGCCGTTGGACAAAGCAGACGTCTCTCAAAATTTTAAACTGGTGAAAGCTTAGCGGTATTACGCCCCGTGACTTCTTGTTTAATGGTGTCTTGCGCCCTTGGACTGGATTAAATTGCCACTTAAAAATAAAGATTCCTATTCATTTTTTTGTATCTAATAGAAAACTAACTACTTTCGTAATTAGATCCGACTTCGGTTTTCGTTTCGATTACAACTTAATTACAGTTTTTTTTTATTGAATACCTCAGAAAAGACATCGCAAATTGGAGTTTTCTGGCATTCTCTTTGTAAACTATTACTAGTAATAATAATAAATTCTTATACAGAGTCTTTGAGTTTAACTTAGTATTATTAGATTATGTACAAATGACCACTGAACTATGTTATTCGTATATTCACTTTGGCTGTACAGTATCATGCTCCCCCGGGCGAAATAGTAAGGCTTTAGCATTTCGACTAATAGATGAAAACGTTCCGAACATATACGTATATGCCTTAATTAAAACACGAATAATTGTAAAATATACTTGATTATTTTAGATCGAATCCACTCCTTTAAAATTGTAAAACTATAAACCTTTATTATCAGTTTTACGGTCGCCTTTTGGTTGAAATTCGACCATAAATCATAGTCAAACATTTTCTAATTAAAATAGCTTTATGAACTTTTCTACGCTAACTACTCGTGCTCGCGCAATCTCCTAAAAATGGGTATAAAGTTTTTGCTTCACGTATTAATATAATGGTAACGTGAAACTGGAAAATACAGTGAAGAGATGCGATTCTTCCAAAATGACTTTTTTTAATCAGAGAAGGGGCAAACGAGCAGCACAAACACCAAGGTGTTCAACGACACCCATGGACATCAGCAATACCAGAGGAACCGCAGATGCGTTGCCGGCCTTTGAGATGGTGATACGCTCGTTTCTTGAAGGACCCTAAGTCGTAGCGGTTTGGAAAATGATATGACAAAGAACCATAGGTGATATAGCATACAAGAGCGTCAGTGGCTCAGGGGTCAAGCCTTTGACTTGCAATCTGCTGGACCTGGGTTCGAATCCCGCCATGTACCAATGTGTTTTTCGATTTTCGATTTACATATGTACATTTATCCGACGTTTTACGATGAAGGAAAACATCGTGATGCAACCTGCTCATATCTGAGAAGAAATTCAAAGGTAGGTGTGAAGTCAACCAAAACGCACTTGGCCAGCGTGGTTGACTATGGCCTAATCACCCTTAACGTAGGGTAGGCTCTGAGCTCCTCGATGGGGACGTAAAGTAAGCTGATGATGATGACATAGCACGGAAGATGTAACATAAAAAAAAACATTCTTTGAAATTCCTTTTGAACTTTGTTGTGCAGTTTAAGCGTTTGAGATGTAATTTGGCGCAGAGAAAGCTGTCTATTTTATCTCGGATTGCTTGCGGTTTTAGCACTTAAATTTTCACAAAATTGACTGAAAGTCGACTTTTCACCAGACATTGAACGGACGGTAAATTGTTATCATTACGCTTGACAAGTTTCTCTTTTAGACATGCAATTAAAAACAAAAGTATTTTTATATTTTTATGTTTAAAGGAATTAAAAGTTGGCTCATACTTAGAATACCAATTATCCCGAGATTTTACTGCTTCAACGACTAAGTAAAAACATATATT